AACTTGCATCTATATTGTATTTTTACTACTTACTGTAAACCAAATAATGCAGAGGAGAAGACAGGATAGTAATCAGCATATATATGTTAAACAGTGCTTTTGTGTTTTTTATTTAACCTTTATTTAACCAAAGAAGACTGATGTCTTGTTTTTAAGCAATAACAATGATTTACATTCAACATAAAACAGATTAAGCAGAATGTCACAAAATCTGAATTAAACAGAAATGTGATTACGAAATGATGAATAAGAATTCTGATCCAATCAAATCAAAGATTTCATCCTAGATTCAACCTAGATTGTACAATAACCCAAAACATCGACAGCCAGAGAAGAGAGCACGCAGTTTCTGCAGTGATGATATGAATTCACAGAGATTACATTTTTCTGAAAGTTACAGGCAGAAGGAGCAGCATACATTACAGCCCTCGTGGCCTGTTCAGTACAGACTTTGAGAACTGTAAATTGAAAGAAGTCCTGGAAACAACGAGCACAGCTGTTCATATATTTTGGATTTTCGTCATTATTTTCCAAAAACACAGGAGTGAAGATGAGCTGTAATAAAGATTTGTTGATGTGGTAATGTGTTATGAGATATGTAATGAACCTGCATTAATTTATTCTAAATGATGCATTTTCAGGAAAGGATTTGCTCTTGCACTGAACCACATTGTATCTAACAGTATTTGTAATTTTAAATATTCCGTCCTCTTCAGTGCCGAACCCTTGTAAGAACGTGTGCAGTCACCTCTGTCTCCTCCGGCCTGGTGGGTACACCTGCACCTGCCCACAAGGCTCCTCCCATGTGGAGTTCGACTCCAACAAATGTGATGCAGGTAAACAACAACAGCCTGGCTGCATGCACAGTCTGCGGTCTTATGTTAGCTGTTGTGTTGCATCATCCTTTTATATTCATAAATCCATTCTCCACATGTGCCTGGCTGCTCCCGTGTGGTCTTGTGAGATTGTGGTGTGATGTTGTTTCATTGTTTCTGATTCTGCGTATGGCTGGCTTTTGCTCCTGCAGCCATTGAGGCACCTGTTGCAATGCCCCTTGCATGTAGATGCATGAATGGTGGAACCTGCTACACTGATGAAGGCGGTCTGCCCAAGTGCAAGTGAGTGTAGCTGCAGGGGCCATTTACACCAGTAAATGATTGTCCATCAGTCATACCCTATAATGTCTGACATATTTGTTTATATTATATATATTTTACTTTAAGATGCTGTTGACCCAGTATTAAAGATTTGGTATGGTTATTTTCTTTAGATGCCCATATGGTTATGTGGGCAGCTTCTGTGAGATGGGGAAGTCAAGGGGCGCTCCAGCAGGAACAGGTACTGTACCTCTCCTATTATCTATCCTTTGATTTATTTATTCTCATTCAAATTTATAAATCAGTTCATAGCTCTTAACATTTGTACAGTTTTTCATCATGAAATAGTTAGACTTGTGTAACTTGAAAGGTTGACTAAACAAATTCTTACAACCAACAATCTGTGGGAGTCCTTCACACATGCACGTGTGGGAGCTGCCGCACAGTAACATTCAGGATCTGCTAGCTTTACTGAGGCGGATCAAGGTCAAAAGTGATGAAGTCAGTCTTCTTGCTTATCTAACCAGTGGCTGTTCAGGGCAACAGCTTAGAAAACAGTCTGAATCAGCAAATATTAAAGATGTTGACTCACCAAAATCACACTTTTGCTCAATAAATAACTAAGTAATATGACAATTGATCACTGTTTAACTTAGTAAACTAACAAGTAGTCCAGAGGTCATGAACAGTGATGGACGAGTCAGCAAAAATATTATTAGGAATTTTTATCAACAGCATTGTTCCGATTATACCATAACCACACAACTCAATGCTTTCCACTTTTTCTGTGTTAAGCTGTGGCTGTATTACTGGCCGTCATTATCATCCTGATTACTGGAGCTTTGGCCGTTGGGGTTTTCCTCAACTATAAACGAACAGGATCCTTCATCCCCTCCATGCCCAAACTACCCAGGTATCTCAGCCCTCGCCTTTTCGTTCTCGCCTCTACTGAAGCTCACATCAGAGTATTTAGATAAAAATTTGTGTTTTCTTTTTGTCCAGCCTCAGCAGCCTAGTGAAGTCCGGTGACACTGGGAATGGGGTGACTTTTCGCTCGGGTGATAATGTTGATCTCGGACCATCGCACATTGGAGTGTCATTCATTGACACAGCCATGCAGATGGTGAGTCCAGGAAGGATCCTTATTAGCAGTTAATATTCTCCTAAGTCACAAAAAGTGTCCTATCAGCATTTTTAACTCACAAACAAGTTCTATGTGGTTTTATTTGATGACTTTTATTTTAGTCCTCCTTTTGGAACTGCTTGTTTCAGCATCAACTGAAGGTTAACAAATGAATGGTGTCTTTTGAGGTGTAATATTTTCTGTAAAACCAATCTTATCAATATCCCCATAGGATGATAACTTTGCTATGGAAGCTGGCAGGCAGCCGATCACATTTGAGAACCCATTATACGCCACTGCTCCTGGAGTGTCTGGTGCTCCTGCTGTCATTCATGCCACACAGGTACTTGTAAATGAATAAATGAATGGATTTCTTTGTTTTTATGTCATGCCATTTAAATGGTCCGTTGCACATAGATACATATATTTGCATGGCAACAAATAACACCACCCAAAAAAACCCACCACACGCTGCACATGGTTCAGCATCTTCCAACAAAGTCATCTTTTTTAGTGTTAATTAACTTATTTCAAAAATATTGATCTAAAGGGCAATATACAACAAAATACACTTAATGTGCATCTTATTTTCATTACATATGTATTTACTTCCACCACAGAGGTTAGACTGTTCGTACAGTATGAGCTGATCTCAAACATAGTGCATGAATAGACTGCTGTCCAAAAAAACAGTTCACTGACTTTGATGGAAACCTTAACAAGAGATTTCATCCGCAGCTAACACATTTGGGGCTTTAAACTATAATCCTGAGTGAATATTTTACAGTAGGACAGCAAGTGACGGAAATAATATCTTTGGATGCAACAGATAATTTGAAAATTGTTCAGTGTTGGTGTGTGTGGGCCACAAGAGTCTCGTCATTGCTGAATATTGTATTAACAAAAAGAAAAAAGAAATTGCTCCACACTGCCGTGTTATTTCCAACACTTCAAAATACTGTCATTTCCATCGATTGATGCGTTATTATGATTATTGCTATCCAGCAGGTACAAAGACTTTATGGGTGTGCATGTGCCTCCTGATCATCGCTCCAACATATATTTCATTAACCCTGGAAAACGACAAATTTTGGCAATTCGTTAAGCCAATGAGCTCAGTTGAACATGGCAGAAGGCAGTTAGTTAGTGTGACAGCCTTGCGTTTTTTTTTTTTTTTTTAACCAGGTGACTGTTAATGTGAGCGGTGAACAGCTGGAGAACAACTTTGTGAACCCTGCGTATCGCGGGGATCAGAATGTGGGCATCGTGAACACATCTTCTGTCAGCACCAAACCCGTTCAGGTGAGTCTCTTTTAAACAGTGTGCCCAGTTAAAACGATGGAAGAAGAATTTTTCAAGTGCGACACCACCTCACTGTTTGTGATCGCTTGCAGGAGTCAAAGTGGAGCTTATTCAAACGAAAATTAAAACCAAGCACCACGTTTGAAAACCCTTCATACTCAGAGGTGACTCTTGACATTTTTCAGACATGAGTTATAAAGCAATAAGTAATTGTTTTTTTTTTTCCATCTTTTTTTTTTTAACCTTCTGCTTTGCTTCACAGATGAAGGATGAAAAGCCTGTAGCCAGCAGCGGGGACTCTTCTGCCCCTGAACCCTCTCCGTTTGTCCCCCCTGCCAAACCTCAGAAGAGGGATCGTCCCAGCACCTTTTCGCCAACCGAGGACAGTTTCAAAGACACAGCCAACCTCGTTAAAGAGGACAGCGATGTATAACCCCTCTCTCACGGACGGGAGTTGAAAAAAAAGAAACACACTTTGCACAGAATTTATTTTTTTATGCAGCCTGTGTACAAAACTCAAATTGTTTTAGAAAAGAGAAATACATTTCTACAGAATGAAGAGAAAAGTCTTCTGTGACTATGCCTTCTGACATTTCTTATGCCAATTCTTGTGTTAATGTTTTTTTCTTTATTCTGATGTACAATATGTATATCTTTGCACTGAAGCTGCTGATAGAAATGTTAATAAATATGTTGTATATTTGTAAATTTGAACAGTAAGATTTTGTCAGAAAATATCTTGGAAATAGATCCTATGAATAGTTCAACATAAACACAGTAACACATGTAAAAGGTGGGCTGCATTCTGAATGTACAGTACTTGTATGATCAAAGGGTATTAGAGAAATGTGTTGGATAATGACATTTTTTGCCACTGAACAAAACTGAAGATGTATTTACTTCATCTTTCATGTTTATATACCTCATTTCAGGGCTGAGAAATTAAAGCAAGATATAAGAAATTGGATTTTAACTCACGTGTGCTCCAGTATAAACAGATGCGCAAGCTAAAATACGTGTGCAAAGCATACTTACCATACTTAACCTCTACCTACGTTCCCTGACTTTGTGACTTTGAATCAACATGATCATTTCTTAAAGTAATGATATTGGATTAATGGCCAAAATAGTTTGGAACAATACTTGAACGCGCCCATGTCTGTTTGCATGGAAATAAATTTATGTAGTTGATTATCTTGAGGAGCAAAACATGACCTGAGGATGCAAGATGTAGACTTGTTTTATAAACACGGTGAATAAATTCTTTACCTTACAGAATGATTTATTTTGTATCATAATGAGGACAAATAAAAACTGTACCTGTGATCATCCAGAATTTGCCCATGTGGTTTAAATTGCTGCTGCTGAGACATGAATGAATAAATTTCCTATTTTGTAACACAGTCTGGACAGGGTTTTTTTTTTTAACCACTTATTGTCTTAATGTGTTTCAGTTTCGTGTTTTCATACATATACACTGCAGACAGGGAAAAAAAACATACAAACTGTTTTACAGTGGCAGTGGTTGTCTGCTAGATGTTTCTCTCATCTTTAGGTGAAGGAAGAAGCACGCTGATAACAAAGTCTGTAACAAATGAAGGCATATAAGACAGAGGAATCCAAAAAAGCTTGGCATCCCAGCCCGCACCGTAACGTGTGCGAGGGAAATAAGCTGTCAGCGCGTGCTCCATACACCCGGTCACCTTGGAGATATCTGGACTGCACAAGATACCCATGGAGAAGCCCTGAGCTTTCACATCTGTTGGGGGAAGGAATGAGAGGAATCATTTAGGGATATTTAACTGACACTACTGCTGAATGAAATCAACTGTACCACCACTCACAGTCTTCAAAGTATTTGGCTCCATATGAGGCTTTGACATCTTGAGGGAGCCGAGTCCACAGCCTCCTCAGGTCGGCTTCAATGAGATCCAGCCGAGTCACTCCTGTCTTGAAGAAACCAGGCTCGATAATGCTCACTTTGATACCAAAGTGCTGCATGTCCCTCCTGGGCAGGAGAAGCAGACAATTATGTTTCTTTACTGCAACTACAAAGATTTGCATTTTAAGTCTTCTGTCAACAATTTTCCTTTAAAAGTAGTTTTACATGGTGAGGTTTTCAAAATGTTTGCTGGTGACTGTAACACCCATTACCAGTTACTTTTCATAATAAGATTTCACATGAAGATCACATGATAATCTTATAAAAGCAGGTCCACCAAAGGGCGATTTCCCCTCTGAACTTTTCAAGTGGTTTCATTCAAGTAGCTGTTTTAGGCCCAAAGATGTATTTCAGACAAAACATTAAACATTAGAGAAAAGAGAAAGATATGAACACATTTGTCCAGCAGAGCCCTCTCCCCTTCTTTCCTATCACAACAGTCATCTCTTCGCACCCTTAGATTTATCTTGTGTCCCTACGGAGGGGCCTGACACCTATGTTAGGAACCTCTGGGCTTGTTTGAAACTTGTCAAGTCTCTGTTGAAAGTGTTCTGTACTTTCCTCATCTGTTTCTAACTTTGTAATCAGTGTAAAAGACAAACAGTTCCTGGAAAAAAAAAGATGTGTGCTGTAAAAACACTGTCGCTTGCATCAGGTCAGGCCATCCTAATGGACCATTTATTCTATGTCATTTGGCCTGTTTGGTTTCTGGCTTCTTCCTCTCACTGTTTTCTCTAGATGGTTTTGGTGACAGTGACAGCAGTGTTTCTGAACAATACTTGTTTATGTTTCTGCATTTATATTTATTGATTGATGTCTAAAAGCCAAATTGCCCTTAAGCTTTACTCTTAAAGAAACTGCAGGTTTGTTTTGCCTCTACTAACCCCTTTTACAGAAATGTGTTAATCTTAACAGGATGTGAGATGAATCAGTTTTTCGTTCCTCTACCTGAGGCTGTCAGAAAAGGCCTCCACTCCACATTTGGACAGGCAGTATCCTCCACCAGTGAGGGACAGTCTGCCCAGAATACTGGCCACGTTTACCACCCTGCCCTGGGCTTTCTTCAGCAGCGGCAGAAACTGGAGAGTCACCTCAATGACTCCTATCAGATTCACATCCAAAACCTTTGTGAAATCCTCCAACTGCATCCACTCTGTTGGGCCGATGGGCGTGGACCTGCCAGCGTTATTGACCAGCCCCCACAGACCTGCAGAGGAAAGAGGCGGGATAATTACCAATCACCACTGACAGCAGTTATCCCCTTCTCATCTTAATTTCTCTTTTGTCAGCAAAGCACCAGTGAGTGTTTTAGTCTGTTATCTTCATAAATATCAGAGATGTGTTGGCAGTTTGCAATTGGTCTGTTTCACGTCTCATCAACCTGCATCAGACCTGTACTACTACAGTGTTCATCTGTCTGACAGCAAACCAGCAGATGTTTGTATGTGTGTGAGAAGGGAATCTGTGAAAATGGTTTGTTATAAGTTATTATTTTGAAAATGAGGTAAATATATTTAAATTATTTGCTATCTTAGCTGGTTAAATTACTCAACTACTCACATACATCCATATGAAAGTAAAGCTTGGTGAATTAAGCATAGTATCACGGAGAATGGTCGTGTTTAATTTAGATGGTCTTTACTTACAAAGGCTGAAAACGGCCTTGATCTCCTTAATTCCTTATACTTTTTCACATTAGTGCATTTTATCCAGATAGGCTCCTTGTTTACTTGACAAATTTGTAAAATGATTAATTGATTCAACCTACTAATTGTCTGTCCCACCAATATACAAATAATGTTCATGGGTATTTGGATTTGTTTCCATTGCACATTTTTATTATAACCTTATCATTGTTATTCTATTCCCTCTTTATTTTTGCTGTACTGACACCTGCACTGAAATCACTTCCTTGTACATGTGTACTTGATAAATAAGGACTGATTCTGAAAAGTGATATCTTTGATTCATAATTATTGTAAAGGGTTGAAAGGCACCAAACTGAAGTTACTGTCGACAGAAATCTAATAAGACTCTCTGTGAATGGTTAAATTTGCCCAAGATCCTAATGGAGTAACGGAGTGGCACTTTGCTTATGTAATCAGTGTTGATGTGTAAAGAACAGTATCTAGTAGAGACTGTACAGTGTTAAAACAGAATCGAGACCCAGTGAAAAAAGGTAAGGTAAATCCGCTCCACAAACAAAGTAAGGTCTGAAAAGCTTCTAAGAAGTTTAGAATGAAGTCTGGTTAAACTTTTACAGATTTATGTCTGCAGGAGCTTTGCTGTGTTTCTGGTTGTTAAATGCTATCAGTAGGAGGATGATGGCTTGTTGATGGGATGGTCCAGGTTGCCTTATCTCCTCCAGTGCCTCACTCTGACTGGCACCTTATCTGCGTGTAGCCTACCCCCCGCTGTCCGCCCGGCTCACCTCGCTCTCCGACCTCTCCGCTCACGAACTCCACCGCCCTCCCGATGCTCTCGCTGTCTGTAACATTAAGCAGGAGGGTCTTCAGTCTGGGGGAGGCCTCCGCTGCCAGATCTGCCGCACCTTTCTCTGTGAGACAAGCGGCTATGACGTGGAAACCTTTTCGATCCAGCTGTCTGGCCAGCAGATTCCCGAAGCCACTGTCGCAGCCCGTGACGAACACATGCTTCTGGCTGAAGCCACCGACCTTGTAGGAGTCTCTGATGTGCCAGCGGACGGCAGTGAGAGCGGCCAGAAGTAAAGCAGAGGTTAAGACCAGATGTGACAGGATTACCTAAAACACACGATTCACTTTTAATTCACATTTGGACTAAAACAAACATTTTTTCATGCCATCTTCTTTTCTATAAAAGTGGTGAAAACAGATGTGAATATTTAGGCAAACAGAAGGAGGAATAAACTTACCTCTAATAAATACGTCATTGGGTTGTCAGTTGACACCTGAATGGAGGAACCTGAGATGAGTTTCTTCAAGTTTAAAACATCATATAGCTCCCACACACAGAGGCAATGAAGATTAACATGTAAATACCCAACGTGCATCTATTTGGCTACAACCTTATTAACAATAACTGTGACCCCCGTTCACTCATCAACCCTTATCCTTATTGGGAATAAGCAGCAGGGATATCCAGCACTAACAGACCATCAACTGAAATGACAGAGCAATTTAACACCCGGCTTGAACTTCTACAAACCTTTACTAAACATCTTTATTTGACAGCTTGAATTACTAGTTACTTTTTACATTAAACAAATATGATCATCTTATAAAACATAGTTGAGTCAAAATTAATACCACCTTGACTGAGAATAAATGCCATTTACACATGAATGCATTAATAATATTAATCAAATAATAATAGTTTAACTCTCACTCACAGGGTTAATTTTTCAGCATAATGTGTCATTTGACTTTACTGACTATACATTAATTTTCTTGTAATATTTCTGTACTAAACTAAATAGGAGTTTTACTAGTAACTAGTAATTTCCATTTGAGTATTGCAATTTTTAAACAAAGCCCCATTTACCTCCACTGTGCTGGATCTCAGCAGTGGAAATCCTAGACCTTTGCAGGTAGAACCACAATAAGATGAGAGGGATTTGGGTGAACTGAACCTTTAATATGTTCATGTTTCAGTTGTCCACCAGATGGCATCAGATGTTGTTTAGCTGGTTAGTGCAAAAACTACAAAATCATTCAAGTAGTCCATTCATGTCTGTCACTATTAATGTCTGTTCCTAATGTTTTGTGTCAAATAAAAATAACAGGTCAACATTCATATGCCAGCCGTTTGGATACTCCCGATAGGCATCAAAGCCAATACTAAATTAAAATACATAATGATATTAATAATAATAATAATGCACACATACCATTGCTACAATTCTTTAGCTGTAGATGTGTCTTCTTGATGAAGATAATGAAATAAGCTAATGCAGTGGCGATCCTTTCTCAGTCAACACTGGACGCTCCAGGTAAGCTTAAGTTTCTCTGGACTGACTTGAGCGTGTCTGCAGAGTCAAGGTCCATTGTGGATATAACAGCATGAGGTTGTGTAATAGACTACACCAGATTACATGACCCCAGGTTTTGATAACTGCACCCCCCCTTTTTTTTTTTTTTTACCTCAAATGTGACTGAACTCTGAAAACACAACAATTCTGCCCAAAGGTTACAGATAAAACGCTGTTGCGTATTTGATATTGAGAACAAATGAACGTTAATGATCAAACTTCCAGTTCAAACAGACGCAGCAGAGCTAAAGTCCATCAAGAACAAAAGCTTTACAAGTTGACAGAGGTGTGATACTGTGTTCAAGATGTCTCAAGAAGCAAATGCCATCGTCTGTGATCAGAGGCCATTAACTGAGATGTTATAATCTGTACAGCAGGCATGCTAATGTCCAGAGTCAAGCAAAAAACATAATGACGAACCAAACATGTTTTATAATACAGAAAATGTTTATATGATGCTATCAATGGTGGAATACTTAACTTGCAAACATTTATTGTGTGTTAAAAAATGAAACACATGTCAGTTCTCTTTGTATAAACCTATTCCACAAAATTACTACTTTGACAGAAACTACAGGACAGAAATTCTGGGTTTGGGGCTACTTTTAAGGAAAAGTTTATCTGAGATGCAGGTTGGCATGTATGAAAGAGGCAACCAGAGGAACTTTGCGTCCCATCCAGGAGAGTAGCGAGTACGAGGGTGAACGGCAGAGACAGCGTGCTCCATACAGCCAACCACCTTCATCAGGTCCGAGTCCGTGAACACCTTGAACCTGTCATCCAACCCTTCCATACCTGAAAGAGAAACATGTCACACAAGTGGTTTATACGCAGTACACTTTATTAGGGCAACACTTTAATTTCAAATTTTTAAATTCCTAATCATTTCCTAATAATTTACTAGGTAGTTTCATGGAAAACAATTATATGAATGGGCACTAATTAAAAGGTATAGGTATGTTTATATCAGGTAAGACAATGTTTGATTGGTAAAATATCAAATTACATAGTTCTTTACAGAAAACCTTTAAAAAACTATTAGTAAATTATGAGGAAATAAAGGAACTGTAGAATAAAGTGTTAACAAATGCTGTAACTCACCTTGGTCCAAGAAAGCTTTTCCATAGTCGTCCTTCACATCCTGAGGTAATCTGTCCCACAGCCTCTGCAGGTTATTCTTCAGTATCACTGTATCAGTCACATTGGTTTTGAAGAACCCTGGCTCAATGCATGCGACCTTGACTCCAAACGGTGCCATGTTTAAACTGAAACACAAAGTGAGCCGCTGTAAGTAAAGAACACACTCACGAGAACAACAGTGTGTGTGTGCAGCATGAAAAGGTTATGTCTCCTCTCACCGCAGACTGTCATTGAAGGACTCCACTCCGTATTTGGACACACAGTAGGGTCCGCCGAACGGGCTGATTCGCCCAAACACGCTGGCAACGTTCACCACTCTCCCTTTGGCCTTCTTGATGAGAGGAAGGACGCTGAGTGTCACATCTATGACTCCACACAGGTTGACGGTCAGCATGGATTTATAATCCTCTATAGTGAGCCAGTCAGACGGACCGGACGGCACAGCGACTCCAGCGTTGTTCACAACACCCCACAGGCCTGAAGCAACACAAGATAAACACAAAGAGATGAGAGTGATCACACCACATGCATGGCACAGTGCAACCACTGCTTAGAGGTTAGCTAAGAAGATTGACACCTTTCCTCTGACTGTAGAGTAAACGAGAAGCTACTGTGTATTTCTTAAAATGTTGAACTAATTCTTTGAAGTTGGAGAGATTTATTCAAAATACATAATCAGCACTGCTCAGTTTCAAACGTAAACAAAATATGAATATTGTATCCTAAACGTGTCGTAAAATCTCTTGTCTAGTGAGATTAACATAACACCCATGAGATAAACAAGCATCAAATAAAATAAACGTAATAAAATAAACCCACTCACCCTTCTCTCCGACCAAAGTCTTGATCGCAGCTGCTGCTTTGCTGACACTTTCAGAGTTGGAGACATCCAGGTGCATCGTCGTCAGTCTGTCGGAGGAGATCTTCTTCAGCTCATCCTCACCCTTCTCAGTGTAACAGGCTGCGATCACGCGGAAGCCCAGCTTGTCCAGGTGTCGAGCAAGGAGGTTACCAAACCCAGAGTCACAGCCAGTGATGTATACGTATTTATCTTCCTTGTTGGACACCCTTTTGAGTTCCTTGCACCAGCGATAGACGAACCAAAGCGCCACCAGCCCGAGGATATACAGCAACATTTTTCTGAGGTAAAAAAAGCAAACACTGACGTGAGAAAAACAAAGAGAAATACGGCAACAAAATAAGAAGACAGCTGCTCTATAATGCTGAAACTTCTGAAATGACCGGTCCACTCAAAAAGGAAATGGGCTCCTCCTTCATCTACTTTTGATATGTTGACATGTTGTTACTCCATGCTGTTGCTTTATCTGGTATTTTGTCTGGTGAAAGATTTTTTTTAAGATCAAGAGTCCACTTTGGATAAAAGTATGGACTTTCAAACCCAATATTGACTGTATGTGAAAGTATGTCACTTATTGTGTATGGAACGGGAGGAACTGGAGTTCTGTGCATTTAGTCATTTGTATGGCACATTATTTGGAAACAAAAAATATTAAATGGACAGTCTGAATAAATTAATTTTGCAGGGGTGTTACTAAAAATTACATAATTATCAATCGACTTATCAGATGATTCTTTTCTTAAATCATCCACTCTGAAAAACGGCAAAAACATTTTCCCAGTCCAAGTTGATATATTTGAAGTACTTCTTTTATCTGATCAAGTGCCCAAGACCCCAAAATGTTGATTTTACCATCATAAATTACTATAAGAAAAGCAGCAAACATTCACATTTGAGAAGCTGAAACCGGTGACTTAATCAATCTTAAAAGATTAACTGACTGACATATCAGTTAATCGACTAATTTATAAACAACTTACATAACTGTCATTTCACAAATTAGCCCGACTGAGCCTGAATATTTGGGATGCAACAAACAATTATTCTCATAAGAGATTATTTTCTCAACTAACTGATTGATTGTTTAGTTGATAAACCTGAGCAAGAGTGCAAAACTCAGAAGATATTTATTTTACGATCATACAAGACCAAAAGAAAGAAAGTATTATTGCTTGAAAGATCATTTAAAATACATTGAGCCTGCCTGTAGTGAAATGTGCTATTAAATAAAAATAAAAACCCCCACAATGTTCCCAGGCTGAACGTCTGACATGGCTTCATGGCCCAAACACTAGACTAAAGTTTTGACAACAGAACTAGTCTTAATCATATGAACAAAGTCTGTCGCGATTCATGATGAAGCCAAACACAAAGTTCTGGTGGTTAAGCCTTGTCTCGACTAAATGGCATGAATGCTTTCACAATGAGGCTGATATTCAGACTTAACGCCCACTTCCATTTGAGAAGCTGTAAAATTTTATGAAGTTGACGGAGGCTCAGAACAACTGGACCGAACCGGACTAGACTGAACGAGCTGAACGTCTCGGTCGAGCGGGAAGAAGAAACTTACTTGTGTATTTTCTGTGGTTAGTGCATGAATTACCGTCTTTCACTGCAGGTCGAGAACCTCCAGAAGAAATGCCACAAGAAGAGGAAGACCTGCCCAGTTTATTTGCTTCCTCTACTTGACTCGAAGCTGCTTCCCCGTGACTTCCGGGAATGTCAGCCTCCGTCGTCTGGGCTCTTTTACCCGTAGAAGATAATGATGTGTGAGGGGTGCCGCCTGCTGGACACCACGTGATAGGGTCAGCTAGGGATACATACATGATTTAATGGTAAGACATGTAAGACAGTTTTGCTTTTAGAAACTATGAATATGTAAATACACAAATATTGCACTATTTTATGCAAATAAAATGTAATTAAGATGAATACATTCACAAAGACATACTTTTAATGTATTGTTGATTACTTTTGGCTGTAATAATATTACACTATCTTCGTATACCTACACTCAAAAAACTGCAGGGTTGTAAATTAACCAAACCTTAACCCCACTGCTGGGTAACTATGGACAAAACACACGCTCGGTTGCTTTGACCTAAGTGCTGGATTTGACCATTTAACCCAGAATGCTCGGTTGTTCATTTGCCCCAACCTAGGGAGTGACAACAACAGTATAACAGTATAACTATGGTGTTATAATGATTTTATCATAATCATGCAAACATAAACTAAACAAAAAGAGGTGGTAATTAGAAGGGCTGTAGAAAAAAAACCAGACCAATGCAGCCATCAGTAACTTCAGTCATGCCCCTAAGAATATTGTAGTGCTGCCATAAAAATCAGCTCTAAATCATACAGCAGGCGCCTGAACTGCAGCAATCACTGGAGGGTTATCTATGGAGGTAATTTAAAAACAGAATATTTGAAAGCAAAAAATAACAACATGTGACATGCAAAACCCATAAATGAGAAAATTAAACTGTATTGATTGAATCAGGATTGACTTCAAACTTGTAATATCACAAAATCCTGCTCGTACATAGATGTTTTAAACAGAGATTAAAGTTGACCATAGAGAGCCCCATGTAAATGTTCATTAGTGAGTTTGCTGAGTTCACTGTACTTCTGTATGTTCGACATAAACATGGTGAAGATTTGAAGGGCTGGCTTCTGCAGACATGGGGCATCCTTCACCCCTTTTAATCCAGAAAATGATAGGACCACACTGAGCTTCCTGCAAACAAAAATTGTCCCAGGGGCTGATTTTCTGTGCTTCCATTGAGAATTCAGTGGCATTTCTGACAAGAAATGGGTTTGCAATGTGAACTACAACTTATTTTCCCAAGTTAAAGCCCTCAAAGCTTGTTTGGAAATTTTCAGTCAGCTTCACCACAAACACCAGGCATGATTCTGAAGCTGATTTTTCCCATCTGGTTTGTCGAATTTATAGAGTTCAAAAATGCCTCCAGCTTCCTATGAAAAACAAGGCACTGCAGACAGGAGCTTACTCACTGTGTTGTTTCTGCCCTGAAGCTTGACATTAAGGTTATTCAGGAGGAATGTTATATTTGTCAGAAATGCAATAGTTTCCAAATTTCTCTTCATTTAGGAGAAAACCTGCAAACATTTGGGCTTTTGCATTTTTTTTGCTCAGACAGGAGGGTTTGAAGCTCAGTGCAAAAGCCTCAAAAACGCTCCAGTACTCTGCCTTTCTGAACCCCCGACATTATTATCATGAGGAGAATATGCAGCATATGATGCTGCAGTGCGGATGATGCCTTGGCATCTGTACATTTCACCCAGATTAGCACATAGGACTGTTTGGTAAAGTATTCTGTGTTATATCAAAACAGTTGTTGAGTCTTTTAGGATTGAACCAGTGTCCTCTCTTGCCCTGGATGGTGCTCCATCAGTAACTATGGAGACAACCGGCCTCAAATCTATTCCTCTGTCAGAAGGCCTTTGCCATGCCATGATGGGATCTTAGTCCCAAAATATCTTCACAAACTCCTGTTTTTCTTCATCATAAAATCTAAATGAGAAGAACTGTGCCTGTTTTATGCCATCGCAAAGTTGCTGGGGAAATTTTCAGCAAGAATCTCTGTTTGTCTTGCTGCAGAGGAATCTGACACTGATATCTGACCTATTTTCCCCTTCTTTTCATCCTTTTGCTTTCATCCCAGCAAGACCTCCATCACATCACTCAAACACTCTTTCATAACTTCAGTATCTGAAAAGGGCTTGTGTTTGCCTAAGACTCATGTTACGCTCAGAGAAGCCTCCATTGCCTGCTCTTGCTATGTCATTGATTTTACATTTATTGTGCTGGAGGCTTGATATGATAACTTCAACTGGTTCTTTTCTCTGTGAATTACAGCAATCTTTTTGACTACAGCTGACAGGTGAGGTGACATGACGTGTCACTCAAAAGCAGACTGGGTGAGGTTGCAGTGAAAGTTTATTTCCATGGTCCACATCTGGTCTGGAGTCTGCCACACTGAAGAAAGAAAATTTCGTTCACCTGTATAGTGAATATGGAAGATTAACAATAAATTCTACCTTGTACCTTGGTTTCTTTTCTTGTTTAACATCTCACCATAATTTAATGGAATTTTGCCAGTCAACCAGCGGAGACTGCTCGCAGCCAAGAAACTGTCTGGCTTTGTTGAGTCCAAACTTCTCCCTGGGGAAAATAAAGTAAGCGTCTATCTCTTTAGATCTGACTATGGATAAGATCCCACAACCCTATAGGATACAACATGTATTTTATCTTTACCTTCAAATAGAGCCACCCAGCCTGCCTTATTGCTAAGCTCAGCTAACCAAGTGCTGGGTGTAACTTCAGTAAAGACATAAGAGTGGTAGCCTATCAATCTTCTCATCTATTTTTCAGCAAGAATAAGTTTATTTTCCAAAGTAACAAACTTCTTTAAAGGTAAAAGACCCTCACTGCCACTAGATGTTGCAATAGACCACTAGTATCTCAGACCAAAACAAATGCTTTGTCAGCCACAACTCCGGCCTCCATTTGGACTCAACCCTCCCCTCCCTTCACGTTCTACCAAGGTGTTGCAAGGCGGCCACTTAAGCACACAACAAGAAGCACAACTTCATTACCAATCCAGCTACAGCCATTAGCCCATATTACCGTCGAAAGCCAGCTAGCAATAGCAACATTAACCAAACAGATTTATAATATCAGTAACAGCAAGGTAGCCAACCATTAACCCACATTTCTGCCATCTGCTCCACAGCAAAGCTAGGAGTAAGCCAGCTACCCATAGCACCATTAAACAGCAAGTTAGCCAACTTTATCACGTCTAATGTAGCCGGTCTCTGACGAAAACAGACATGTAACATTATGTAGCTATCAAGTAACGTGGGCATGGAGGAGAAGAAAAGCCAGTTCTGCAGCCCTTATACAGCTTGTAAGGCTCTCCATCTCGGTAAAGCCAGACCTGTATTGGCTCTGTGGTCAGACTGCGAAATAAATTCAACCTTGGACATATCTGCACACAGAACACACAGAGAAGCTGGCAAAGATTTTAAAATTGAATGGATGTTTTGATGGTCCACCGGACAACCAGGTTTTGAGCAGGTAGTCCTCATATCTATTCTGCCTGTACTCTGGTCTTATGTCTTCCTTTGTCTGAGGCCTTTTTAGCCAAAAAAGTAGTTTCCTCATTGGAGGAAACCCTGGAACCTGAGTGTTGGTTACTGCACTGTCCCATCCCATGTGTGGGTGGTCCCTCTGTGTAGGGAGGACCAACTTTGGAGGGACTCATGCACTAACATGCGCACGCACATGCACCAACACTACTTCTGTTCTCTGTAAGTAATCAAAATATGACACTTACTCCAATATACATATCCTGAATACATGAAAGGCACACCAAAGTAGAAATATACTTTTATTAAATATACTTGTGTATACTTTTCTTGATTCTGTCGTACTACATTTGATCACAGTTATTAGTGCAGGCTTCTACATGCCTGGCAGCCCTCAGCTCTCTGAGAGAGATCCAGAGGAGCAGTCAGTGTTTATCACAGTGTGTCTTTGACTAAAGCCCCCTCCTCCCTCTGGTATTATCAATCACCTGTGTTGTGAATAATAACTGGTCATAAAAAAGGAGCAAATTCCGAACCTAGGTACTTGTCCTAGCGGGCGTTAACCCCCCAAACATCTGCTTGGATAGTATAAATGTTTTTCCATTTCCACTTTTAGAAAGCTGTTTATTTTTATATATTCATACAAATACTTATCTGACTGTAAAGCTAGATTGCCCCACAATGCTGGGTATAGTTAAATAGTTACAGTGATGGTAGGAGACAGGTAATTGATCTCTTTCTTTTCAAAAATCTTTGTATTGATCTTCAACAAAGAGGCATTGTACAATGTAAATTTTTTTCTCACAATGGCAGGTCATGCTCTTCAACATAGAGCAGGAACAAACATCACGGTACATGTAAAAACTGTCTGAAATGAATACCTCTTACACAGGTCAAATGTGAATTTGTGTTACGCATTTTGCATAGGGTCTTCTAGAACAGTAAGTACTGTGATTATTTAGCCTTCATTCATATGTGTTCATTAAAATTTGTAAGTAATGAAAGTTTCACAAAACCATTTGTATGACTTCAATTAACTGTTTGGTACCATAATTTTACCATCCACAACAAATTTGATTTAATCATGTGATGCTATTGAGACGGCACCTGACCATAACTAATGGCCTTGTGGTCATTGACCCATTTTACAGCCACTTGTGATAACAACTTAACACATAAATGCTAAGGAACAGTTTTTTATGTAACCAAACAATGTTACCAAATTTCACATTTTACAAATGCCACTTTGTATAATGGTACAATTAAGATATAATGATATAATGGTCTAACTAATTGCAGTCTGTGCACATTAACTTGGCTTAGTGATTGAATTTTGCCTGACAAATGCAGTCTGGTAAATGTTGTAATGGTGATATGACCCTTATCAGTCTAATGGAGATATAGATAATGGGTAAGGAGGGGCATACCTGTAAATAAGGGACGAGCCTCTAATGAGCCTCAGTGCTGTCAGTGGATTTTTGAGGAAACCAGAGATTCATTTTGAGAGGTCCAGGTAATGTACATTTTTACTGTTCTTCCACCTAAATTGCTTCTGTGCAAATACTCAACCGGGATCCCTGCCTAATAATTGCTGTTCTTAGACACTGAATAAGCTGATCAAAGCAGTGTGTTGCTGTAATGTTTTCCCTCAGATCTTATGTCCATGCTGCTTCATAAAAAATGTAAATTTTGAACAATCCAACTTTTTTACATGAACAAAAACCATTCTTTCCTCAAACTGACTCTAGATCTTTTTTAAATTCTTAGTGTCTACAGTTATTGAGCACATGTCAGCAGACCTCGTCATGCCTTTCGTGCCAGTCAGTGCGTCAGTGAATTCACCATTTATTAACTTGATTTATAACTTACAAATTGAAAATTAACTTGTGTGAAAGTTGGATTTTTTTTTCTCAGACTTTTGAGGTGCATACATGGACTGTAATGAATGTCAAACACAGCTCTATCGAACTTATTTTGAAAATGTACTCCAATAACATTCATATATTCCTCTGATTATACAACCAAATTATAGCTAATTTTTATGTTTGTTTTTTTTTAATCTACAGTTGCCTGACTGGATACCAAAACAAACATGAAGAAATCAATCAGATTTACAACATCAAAAAAAGGTGAGTGAGCTTCTTTCATTGCACAAAACTGACACAATAATGTTTTGTATGAAAATCTAAATAATTACAGACAGCTCTAAATATAGTTTTACCCTTCTCCTCAGCAGACAATCAAAATGGGTAAGTTTGTGTTGGGAGACTTGACATTACCCATTATATAATATGGTTCAGACCAACAATATATTCGCAGTTGTTATTTGTTTGTTAAGTAATTTACATATTTTACAGAGATGACAACAAAAAAGAAAATACACTGAGTGTCGGATACTTTCAACTGGTAAATACTATGTCTAACCTATCATCAAATGCCTATCATTTAGAACTGATTCCATCCATTAACAAAATTATTATCTTACAATGTAGGACAATGTAGTAAGATAGTCAACTACTATTTTTTAAATCCACAAATTCTATTTTGCAGTTTCGATTCGCTACCTGGAAAGACACCATGATGATGGTAGTGGGGGGTTTGTGTGCCCTAATACATGGTGCAGCTTCGCCTCTCATGCTTCTGGTGTATGGCATGATGACAAACACGTTTGTGGCTTATGAGCTGGAGGTCCAAGAACTGAAAGACCCAAACAAGTACTGCAGCAACAACACCATCTATTGGATAAATGGCTCCGTTTATGAAACACCTGAAAACAGCACTGTCTACTGTGGGTGAGTCATTAGTTTATTGTTGATGTGATTGTTGAGTTAAGAGTTGTTGTTGTTACCATTTTATTCTTTATTCTCTTGGCAGGGTGGATATTGAAGCACAGATGACCATGTTTGCATATTACTATATTGGAATTGGATTAGGAGTTCTTTGTGTTAGTTATTTTCAAGTATGTATTTTTTCTTTCAATATTCAGCTTTAATTGATAACACTATGTCTCATGACAGTGTAGCACATTACATCAACTCAAACAAGTAATTTTGTACCACCATGCAGATTGTCTTCTGGGTGACGGCGGCCGCAAGACAGACTCAGAGAATCCGAAAGACTTATTTCCAAAAAGTAATGCAAATGGAGATCGGATGGTTTGACTGCAACTCTGTTGGTGAACTGAACACCAGGATTTCTGAGTGAGTTGGGCCGCTGTGTCTGTGCCTCTGTTATCAGTGCATGGCTGGGAGAATGTTTTACATAGAGTATGTGTTTCTGGTGTCTTCTTTCCTTTACAGTGATATCAACAAGATCAACAACGCCATCGCTGACCAGGTGTCTATCTTCATTGAGAGGATCTCCACATTTGTGTTTGGCTTCATGGTTGGATTCATTGGCGGGTGGAAGCTGACTTTGGTGGTCATAGCCGTGAGCCCGCTGATTGGTATAGCTGCTGGACTGATGGCTATGGTAGGAGTCCACTTGTGAGTCACACGTTACATTTAAATGAATAAATAATATGTTTTTTAATGTTTTGTGTGTTTTGGATTCCTTGCGCCTGAAGGCTGTGGCCAGGCTGACGGGACAAGAGCTGGAGGCCTATGCGAAGGCAGGGGCAGTGGCTGATGAGGTCCTGTCATCCATTAGAACAGTAGCAGCGTTTGGGGGGGAAGAAAAAGAAGCTGAAAGGTATTTTGTCATTTTTTTTAGGATCACAACAAGTTGATGATGGTGGGCAATTGCTCCTGTATTCAAAATGAAATTAAAAACTGAACTTTGGACAGATATGACAGAAACCTTGTGGAAGCTCAGAACTGGGGCGTGAAAAAGGGCACAATCATAGGAGTGTTTCAGGGATACCTTTGGTGCATCATTTTCCTCTGCTACGCTCTGGCCTTTTGGTATGGGTCTAAATTGGTCATCGACACCAAGGAGCTGTCCCCTGGTAGCCTTATTCAGGTATGTAAAATCAAATGCATTCAACTGATACTTATTACTTACAAGTATTTCAGACAGTGGCAGTTGTTTTACCATGTGGCTGCTGTGTTTGCTTGCAGGTGTTTTTTGGAGTACTCATGGCAGCTATGAACCTTGGTCAGGCCTCACCGTGCCTGGAGGCCTTTGCTTCTGGTCGTGCAGCTGCAAAGAACATCTTCGACACAATTGATCGGGTAAAATCAGGATGCTATTCAAGACTTAGACAAATTCAGATTGGAAACAGTTCATTTTAAGAGAAAGATTCTTCACCATAAAATAAAGTTCTGTGCTGTTGTGTTCATAGGAACCAGTAATTGATTGTTTCTCAGAAGAGGGTCACAAATTAGACAGAGTTAATGGTGACATTGAGTTCCATAATGTCACTTTCCACTACCCATCCCGGCCTGAAATCAAGGTAATTTTCTTTGCCTAGCAGTTCTTAATGTCCATGTACTCAGTTCTGAAAATGAAACAGATGAAAATCCAACTTCCTTTTCAGATTTTAAATGATCTGAGCATGCAGATTAAAGCAGGAGAAACCACTGCTTTTGTTGGACCAAGCGGATCTGGAAAGAGCACCACAGTCCAGCTCATCCAGAGGTTTTATGATCCAAAGGGAGGATTGGTAACTATCCAAGCAACTGCACGGACGACACATGACATCAGTGGAAAGTTTGAAGCCTTCAGTGTAACATCACATATAAATTTCTCATTCTCAGGTGACTTTGGATGGCCATGACATCCGTACTTTAAACATCCAGTGGCTCCGATCTCTCATTGGTATAGTAGAGCAGGAGCCAGTGTTGTTTTCTACAACCATAGCTGAAAACATCCGCTTTGGTCGACCTGGAGTTACCATGGAAGACATTATCCAGGCAACAAAGGAGGCTAATGCCTATAATTTTATAATGGAACTACCCCAGGTGTGTTTTCATATTTAAAGATAACACAGAAGAATTACAGTCACTTTGGCAGTTTCATAGACACGTTCTGAAACTGCTGTAATTGAAACTATGAAACTATTCTCCAGAAATTTGACACTACGGTGGGTGAAGGTGGAGGCCAGATGAGTGGAGGACAGAAACAGAGGATCGCTATTGCTCGAGCTCTGATCCGAAACCCCAAGATCCTGCTGTTGGATATGGCCACATCCGCCTTAGACAATGAGAGTGAAGCTGTTGTCCAGGAAGCACTTGATAAGGTGAGCCACACTGTCAGTGCACTTCACAGCACAAGACAACACACACTTCTTGACTTGATTAACATATTGTTTTTTGTCATGGAATGAGACTCTAATAACTTGAATATGTGCAGGTGCGCATGGGCAGAACAACAATTTCTATAGCCCACCGTCTGTCCACAATTAGAAATGCAGATGTCATCGTTGGTTTCGAGCATGGACAGGCTGTGGAGAGGGGGACACACAGTGAGCTACTAGAAAGGAAAGGTGTCTACTTCACCCTGGTCACCCTGCAGAACCAAGGCACATCCAGTACAGCTAATGGTAGGATTTATGTGGAGTACATTTCATATCCTTAGACCGTGATTGCACCAACAAAAAAACAACCTGTTGCAACAAATAATGCATGGGTCTGTGTTATAGGACGTGTGTTTAGAACTACAATAAAGGCCAGGGACAAATTTGTGTGTGAATAAGTCAAGTCAGGATAACCAATCAGCTAGCAGCTGTGTTACCATGCCCACCTTCTTCTGTTAGACAGAGTCAGCACACTTTGTTGAAAGCCCCCTGTACAGGCTTGTAAACATAGCTGTGCTTTGTCAGACCTGTTTGGGTGCTTAAGTGGTTTTCTACATTTTTGAATGACCCAAAGTCACAGCTTTGTGTCATGTTGTGTCATCAGAGGGCACAAGCATCTGGCGTCGTCACATGAAGGCTATACTCCCTTTTAATCTGAGACATTTTCTCTTGTCATAACAGAAAAAGCACAGGCGTAATTATTCAGTTCATTACAGTGCATTGTTAAGTGTTGCCACATCAGCCGTCGTTAATGTTATTAATCACACCTGTGCTTTTCCTGCTGTGACAAATCAAAAATATCTGCTGTGAAAAAGGCTCTATGTGTGAAATAAAACTAGTGCTGTAACCCAGGTTCTGAGTGGAGACAAAACTCTCCAACCTTAACACTCTTATACCCACAAAGTCCCTGTTCAGCTCAGTTCTCACTGGTTGAAATAGCCCATTTCAAAACGCTCAGCGGGAGCCACAGGGCAATCCTGTAGTGTATTTGAGTGTAGTTGGCCTACCTGTGTCTGTGGAAGAGCAGCGGAAGCTTCAGCACTTGTGTTAAAGCTGTATTGATTTGTTATCTTTTTCTACCAGATGGAGTCAGTGAAGCTCAGGAAGAGGACTTTGATCTGAAAGTGAGGAGTTTAAGAAGTGGAAGTTGCAGATCCATCAAAGGGTACAGTAAATCCAGCTGAAAGAGATCATGTCAGAAAAACAGAAGAACAGAACATTATGTCAACATTAAAATAATTTGATATTCTCAATTTTACTCTTGCAGGAGCTTTGGTCGGCTGCGATCTCAGAGCAAATTGTCAAATGATTGTGTCCCTGATGCATTATCAGGCAGCCTCAAGATCCTTTCGGACATGGAGATCATACCAGAAAATGTACTTCCCCTTATAATACATTCAATTTATGGCCAATTGTCCTGTGGAAATGAACTAGATCTAATGCGTATTTTTTAACAGAACTGTGAAGATGTTGAAGATGAACATGTAGAGCCTGCCCCAGTAGCACGTATCCTTAAGTACAACCAACCAGAGTGGCCCTACATGCTGCTGGGCTCGCTGGGAGCTGCTGTCAACGGCTCTGTCAACCCCATCTATGCTGTCCTGTTCAGCCAAATTCTTGGTGTAAGGGCTGCTCCCAAGTCTTGCAATGGATTTATACTCTATTGCTACTAGTTTAGGTAGTTTGTTTAATGATTTACATGATCTTTGTGTTTGCAGACTTTTGCCATTCGTGACGTGAATGAACAGAGGGAGCAAATCAATGGGATATGTGTTCTGTTTTGCATTGTAGCTGTGATTAGTTTCTTCTCACAGTTTTTACAGGTTTGCATCAGCATTTATAACTGAAATGTTTAGAGCAGACAGAATAATAAGAATAGGAGAGGACTCACATGCAGACTGACTCAGATCTAATGTTCCAGGGATATGCTTTTGCTAAATCTGGGGAGCTGCTGACCCGCCGTCTGAGGAAAGTGGGCTTCCAGGCCATGTTGAGACAGGAAATTGGCTGGTTTGATGACCCCCAAAACAGCCCGGGAGCTCTTACCACCAGACTGGCTACTGATGCATCCATGGTCCAGGGGGTAAGGAACAAATTTACTGGCCTGCACCTCTATTTCACATTATTTGTAACGCATAGTTTTGGTATATGGTTGTTTTACACGTGATACGACTTCTGCAGGCAACAGGTTCTCAGATTGGCATGATCGTTAACTCATTGACCAGCATTGGAGCATCTTTCATCATTGCCTTCTACTTCAGTTGGAAGTTAACTTTGGTAATTATGTGCTTCCTGCCACTCATTGGGCTATCTGGGGTATTCCAAGCCAAAATGCTGACAGGTTTCGCAAATGAAGATAAAAAGGCCATGGAAGCAGCAGGGCGGGTAAGTTCCTCTTCCACCATTATATGAACATTTGCCACTTTGGTCCACTGATATCTATTCATTTCTCTGTAAAAATCACAGGCTACAGTGTAAGATCTCTCTCTGCCCCAGGTATCCAGTGAAGCTCTTGCCAACATCAGGACCATTGCAGGCATTGCCAAAGAGAGCTCATTTGTGAAATCATATGAGCAGAAACTCGAGCTTCCATATAAATCTGCCAAAAAGAAAGCCAACATCTATGGCCTCTGTTTTGGCTTTGCTCAGTGTGTCATCTTCATGGCATATGCTGCTTCATTTAGATACGGAGGCTATCTGGTTAGCTCTGAGGGGTTACAATACATGTTCGTTTTCAGGTTGGTAAAACACTTTTGTTCTCTGGGGAAATTGGACTTTTACAGACTTCCATTTTGTGTTTTGTGATGTGATAACCAAACATCAACCCAGCACTCATGTGTTGTTCATCTAGAGTGATTTCAGCTGTAGTAATCAGTGGGACGGCGCTGGGAAAAGCTTCCTCCTTCACGCCGGATTACGCCAAAGCCAAAACTGCTGCTGCTCAGTTTTTCAAACTGTTGGACAGAGTTCCTAAAATCAGCATAGGACACAAAGATGGAGAGAAATGGGTTGGTTCAATTTAGTAAATAAAATGGAATCATGCATGATACGATGTAATTTTGTCCTGATGAACTGATTAAGCTTTGTTATCCATCTTTAGGATACGTTCAGAGGTGAAATAGAGTTCCTCAACTGTAAGTTCACCTATCCAACACGGCCAGATACCCAGGTGTTGAATGGCCTGGTTGTATCTGTGAAGCCTGGTCAGACTTTGGCGTTTGTTGGGAGCAGCGGCTGTGGGAAAAGCACCAGTGTTCAACTGTTGGAAAGGTTTTATGACCCAGATGAGGGCCGCGTGGTGTGTAGACCAATTTAGAAATTTATTGCACTTACCACAAAATTAATTTAATCTACTCCAAAGGCATCAACGATGTCTTAATGATGTCATCTTTTATTTGCAGTTGATTGATGGTCGGCCATCTCACACAGTCGATGTGCCTTTCCTAAGAGCTCAGATTGGCATAGTGTCCCAGGAGCCGGTGCTGTTTGACTGCAGTATAGCTGAGAATATACAGTATGGACAAAACACACGTATCGTCAGCATGGAAGAAATTGTAGAGGCTGCAAAGAAAGCCTACCTTCATGACTTTGTGATGACACTACCACATGTAAGTGGAAGTACTTCAATTAATGATAAAGTTTTACTAGTATTACTGTTGTTATCCTGGTATGTAATCAGTATGACAAGCCACCCTCTTAGTTAACAAAAACACAATTTAATTCACACACTATTTAAAAGTATAACTTTGGGAGGTAATTTGACCTTGATAACCTATACAGTTGTTACCTTCAGAGAAACAAAAGCTGGCAGGTTGACATAGAGTCTATAGAGTTCTTTCATTGTGAGTTGCTCTGAAAACTCTTAAACCAAAAGCTCCATTTTGGTGCTGTTCTGGAGGTTTCAAGTTTTAAGTTGAGTCAATTTTTAAGCCAACATGGATGGATTGTCCTAGAAATGCTCAGTAAAAAGAAATTTAAACATCTATACCTCCATGACCTCCTGATTTCGATGATGGTTCCACGGTCAAGAATTACATTTTAATCTCAACTTTCAGCTGAATACCTAAAATATATGCATGATCTGTATCATAGTGACTTCATCAGATGACTGGTTCAAAATTAACAACACAATAAAATTATTTTTAACGATCACAACTGCTGACCTTGTGAACTTTGGCTTTCTCTCACTACATATACAAACTGGTAGAAATATGAGACTCAAGTTGGTGCTCAGGGCTCCCAGCTGTCAAGAGGAGAGAAACAACGCATCGCCATTGCCCGAGCCATTGTCAGGAACCCCAAGATCCTGCTCTTGGACGAGGCTACCTCGGCCCTGGACACAGAAAGTGAAAAGGTGATACATTTCAAAAATGCTATCATACAGCACAAACATAAAACAAAGTGTTAACCAAGACTTTGTTTCCCTGCAGACTGTCCAGTCTGCTTTGGATGAGGCAAGAAAAGGACGAACCTGCATCGTCATCGCTCACCGGCTATCTACTATCCAGACTGCTGACATCATTGCAGTGATGGCTCGTGGAGTTGTCATAGAGCAAGGCACACATGATAAACTCATGGCCAAGAGGGGTGCCTATTATAAATTGGTTACAACAGGTGCTCCTATCAGCTAAGCACGTATAAGCATATGATGACAATGATTTTTATATAGGCCTCACTTTACATTTCATTAATATGGTGTCATCTTGTGATATCACACTAAGAGTGTTTGATGAAACACTGACATTAGATTCATGCTACGCCCCCAGTCATTCTACATAAATCATGGGAAAACTTTTTTTCAGGAAGCATATACAGCGCGCAAATTGTTCTCATCTTCTGCTTTGAATAACAAGTTTTAGTAATTATGTGGTTTATTGTGATTATGTGGAGATAAAACTATTTATTGTGTATTTATTTGTTTATGAGTTTAAGAGTTTAAGAATAAGACTTTTTACAAACATCTGACCATGTTTCTATTGTTGGACTGAAATTAATGTGTTGACTTGTTCTTTGTGTAATTTGTGATTATTTGTTTATAAGTGTAGTCATGTGTTCTTTTAGTAACTAATACAGTTTTTGTAATAGCACCTGACAGTGCCCAAAAATCCTGATATTTGTTTGTTACTGTAATGTTTTAAACCTTGTCATTGGTCACAAATGACTTTCAAACATGAACAGTGAGCTTGGAGTTTTGGAGATGTATGTGATGAATCCTGAGTATAAAAATTTTAAAGGAGAAGCGACAAGAATTTAAAACAATTGTATTACAATGCACAGGATTCTGGACAAAAGTCACCGTTATTTCCTCATTGAAAATAATAAAGTATGTAATGACCATGCATTTGCTTTCAGATTTCTAATTAGTTAATTCCAAATGTCTTTCTTCTTTAATTTAGTTTTCTGAATATTTGAATATAATTAAAGTTTTAGTTGCTAAAGTTTTGTCTGCTGAGTGGTCCTGTGCTGTTTTGCTCTCAGCACCAAGACATAATAAAGTACCCACACACACAGATGTTTCTTTAAGCTTGGCTTAGCAAGTAGCCTGGGCACTTAGCACAGTTACATCATTTAGTGCCAGGCCTCAGGTGCCACTGGATGCTAAGCAACCACAGACAGAGGGAAAAGACATGGAAATGGGTTCTGCTGAGGAGTTTAAGTAAACCGCCTAATCTAGTTACATCAGAGACTTTGTTCTACCTCATTACACTTTGCCTGATTAATATCTGAATTTGCCTGAAGAAGCTAAGACATACGAAAGAAATTATGTAATTCACAAAGAGCAGGATATATGTATATAGATATACAGCACAAACAGTACATGGGTGCTGCAAGAAACTATATGATACAGTGGGTCCTGGAAAATGCAGGGGATTATAGAATAATCTGTCAGATACATTGTTTAGCTGTTGTCATGGTGCCCAAGATTGGCCCTGTTTACATAGTATATACATCGTAATTTTGGGGTTATTGTTTTTATATTGCATCTAAGTGTTGAGAAATCTCTTACATGATATAATCATAATACAGTTTAACTTTTTTTATAAACATATATGGATTTTGTGTTTTGCCGCTTATATGCTGGACTGATGGGAAAAGTAAAGATTGATTGCTAAAACAGACTGATTAAAAAGAAAACCATTTTTTCTTTGGAAGATATTTTAAGGGTGAGATATGATGGGTGATGATTGTTTCAGACCTTGCCAGAGTAAAAAAACATTCATCTATTTATTTGAATTCAGTTTTTATTTGAATCTGATGTTGACTATGAACTGACTTAAAAAATGTCTTGCACAATATAACCTGTGTTTTGCCATTGATTGTTCACATCTCAAAATGTCTTTTAGCAAGAATCTGAATCCCAAACCCAATGTGTATTTATAAAATTAATTTGGGGCAAAATTGTCTCCCATATTAGCAATGTAATAAGAAAACTATGAATTCCAAAGTGTTAAAAATCTTAACTGTTTTATTTACAACAATCTTTCATATCATATCCATGCTTAACATATACACTCATAAAATGGGTTATACTGTACATGTAAAACTAACACAAAAAAGAAAAGTCAAAAACTCAGGTAGGCTACACATCTCATGCTTTGCTAAATTCATCACATAAAGCCCATGTAACATATTTTATTGTTAACCCAGCAATGAAACTTATTTCAACATATATTGCAATTTCAGTGCGTATGTGACTGTGCAATAACTGTGACTAACAGTCTGACAGGTGGTATATGTGTGCCCACTTGTCTGCTTACGTAATCCATTTGCTATCCTTAAATGCTAGCTAAAAAGCGGTGTGAGAAATGATACAAATTGCTCCACAATCTAAGCTAGCTTCCTGTCCTCATCTCCGACCAACAAATGAACACAGTAAGGAATAACGGCAACCACACCGAGAGGTACTGAAGCGCTCTTACAAAATGACAGTATGTAAAACAGAACCTCAGTGTGAGTGGGTATTTTGATGAAATCGTACAGCTGCAGACATGTGAGAGTTGCTGTCACACACATGAGTTTAAATCTGGTTTTGTAGCCGTTTTTCCCCTTACAGCTCTGAGTGAACATCTCAGAGTTTACCGCCAGGCCCAGACCAAACAAGGCTCCAAGGTTTCTAAAAAGACCAGCAAAAGGGGTGGTGTCGAGATGGATCCACTCTGGGTTAGCACACCACTTCTTGGCTTTAGTAACTGACCAAAGAAGATCAATGTCCATCAATTTGAGGAGCAGATAAAAGCAAACAGCAATACAGAAAAGAAAAACATTGGTCTGGAGATACACTTTCAAGTTTGCGCTGTAGACTGAGGGGATGTGATCAAACACCGCAGCAACCAGCATACCTGAAACATGTAGAAAAGACAAATATTAATTCTTAAATAAACTACAACAGCATAAACCTGACAGTCTGTTTGTGAATGCAAGATGGAACTCACCTGCTAAAAGACCAAGGATAACCTGATGTGGAAAATGTGTTGCAATAAAAACCCTGGAGATGCAAACGCTTATCTGAATGACCCAAAAAGCCATCCACAGACCAGACCTCAGAAGACGAAACCTGAAAGGACGGACATATTCAGACATAACCAGGAACGGTAATAAAGAAACATACCACTATAGCATGGTGCAATATAACTGCCCACCTTTGAAAACTCTGCACAGATGTGGCACTGGAGGAAGGCCTGGTAAAGTTGAGAGCAGAGGTGATCATCACATACCACACAGAAGATGAACCCATGGCATGACCAGATGGACTACCTGCAGAAAGAAACATCAGTGTTCGTGTTGCTTTTAATGGTGTTAGCTAAAATATGCTGCAAACATGATACTAACCTGGCCCCGTTTCACATGTGATGGGAAATTGCTCCAAATATGGGAATGAATTGTTGCGGTAGAAGTGAGTTTCTTGGACCCACCAGTAAGGTCGCTGACCAAAAAGAATCCTAAAAAACAAGTACCAGATTAAAGATGATATATGCACAAAATGTTGTAATGGTTAATTTATTTAGCTGAGAGTTGGCTTACCATTTGAAAATAAGATTGAACCAATCTCCAATAACAGCCACCCATATCATCTTGGTGCCAACATTGTGACTGAGATGGAACCAGAGAGGGAAATAAACAGAGAAAATATTACGAGGGTCACCCACAGTTGACATGAAGCTGAGGAAGTCGTGACATTCCCTGTAGTTGTTCTGCAAGTGCTGTATAACCAGCACCCCGATGCTGTGGACAAAATCCATCTGAGGGTCCCTTTCTGTGTGTGCCACTGCAACAGCGGCTTCCTTGGCACTAGTAAAAGCACCATGAACCCTCTTCCACCTCAGATAGCTTTATATCTCAACCTGGCATCATAAATCATTCGACAGAACCATGGCAACAACTTCAAGCTCTTCTATTTGGACCCACAAGAAATAAAATAATGTGTTCCCTGGTCATGAGGGCTCAGCATTTTAAGACAAACTGTTTACACCTAGACTGTGGAGCCATTAGATTTTTTACAGACCATTGCTTTTACAATTGTTAAATATTAGCCATTGTACACACTGAAAGAGACAGTGCACCACGTAACCCCTTGGATCCTTTCAGCCTCATTAATATTCTCATTCTCTGTGAACGTAGCAACAAAATGGGCTTCCCATAATATTGTAACTGAAAAACACAGCCCATCTGGCATCCACAGCTGAGCATACTGACTGTACCTATGATCATTAGTTTTTTGCTTTCCATGTTAAACTAAACAGTCATCTTTGTAAGACCATCTGCATACACAACACCGACAATGATATAATACGTGTGTGTTTTTAACTTAATGCTGCTGAGGACTCTGGTCGGGACCATGTACTTTCTCTTGTTGGGACCAATGATTGGGACCCATCCTATGGACCCATATGCACTTTCTAAAACTCACCACATGGTGGTGTGAAGTCGCAACAAAGACATAGGGGTAAACTTCACATTGTGGGTACCTCAAGATGCTCAAAGTTTGCATTGCTAAGAATAGTTGAAATTTTCATATTCAAATAACGGTATGGAAAACCTATGAATTGCAAATAGATAACTACATGAGGTGCTTTTACTATGATACTCTGAATACATGAGGTGCTTTTGATGTGATACTGTAACTACAGGAAGTGCTTTTACTGTGACGCTGTAATCTTGTGCTGATGGAGTGTTTTTACCCTGTGGTACTTTTACCTAAATAAAAGTTTACCAAAAAAAAGAAAAAAAGAATTGCAAATAGATGACTTGTAAGCGGAAGAACAACAATGAAGAACGATGATAAAACGTTATTTCCGGTACTCAGTCCCCGCCCCTTGTATGCAGACCGCCGATTTTTGAAAGTAACGACTGTTTCAGTGGCAAGACGTAAAACGAAAAGACGGATTTAACGGCCGCATTTTAAAACTTGTGAGTATTGGACAGAAATGTAAACGAAGTGGCTTTATTTGAAGGTAGTTTGTAAACGCGCCAGTTGCTTTCATTTGCTGCATAAGTAAAGTAAACTCAGGGGAATATACGGCTAACTAAGAGCTAATGTTTCCTAGCTAAAGCTAGTGTTAATGTTGCCAGTTGGGGTTGACCAGTCAAGCTGTTAGGTTTGAACGGTTACTAAGTGATATTCTGTGAGAGTAATGCAGCGCTATTTGGGACCTCATCAACGTTACGTTAACGTACAGAGTGTGAGTTCACAAAAGCGGCTAGGGACAGTAAAAAGATCGCACTGTCTTAGTTTCAACTGACTGTTGAAACTATTCTTAACAATTTACAAACCTGCCTCAGTTTGTTTTTCAACAACCAGACTAACAACGGCAACGCTCTTCAGGAATCTAGCTGGATTGACATGATGTTACAAAAGCTTTAATATGTTATTAGGTGGTACTTATTTAATGATACTTAAAACACAAAATCTTCTTTTTGTTGAAATTCTCTCTTTGGTAATTTGTCTAGTCTGCCAAGCATTACACTGGTAAAGCACAAAAATACACTGACATTACCAGTGACAATCTATAATCAACAAGATACAAATCAGTATAATATATTTGAAAAGATTTTTAATGCAGTTAGAATAATACTGTTCTTTTAAATGCACACAATGGGCATTGTGCTCTCTGTTGTTTCTCATCACAGATTGTCTGACATCTGAACATTATGGCGTCCATTACTGATCCAAACGTGAGTGTGAGGTTCACCAGTGCAATGGAAGAGATCCACAACAAACAGCTTAAAACATATGGGGAGATAATGGACACAACTACGGAGTTGTGCCAGTCCCATAGACAGTTTGTGAAGACAGCACATGGTAAGTTTATTTTTTGTATATCTTTATATTTCACTTCATTTTTTTTTTTTTTTTTTTTTAAATCTAAGCTTCATTCTTTCAAATGTAAAGTGATCACTAGAGCTTTTTTTTCTGTTACCTTACCTAAACATTAACAGTTGAGTAGGAAATTACTGAAAACCTTTTGTCATATATGGTTGTAGCCCATATATGGCTCTTTTAGGTAGTTTATAAGCCGTGGGAGGCTGTGCTTCATAGTAATTTTTAAAACTCCTCAACTGGAGTTATTCACAGTTACAGAGATGAGTGCAGGCAACCCCCTAATCACTGTAAAGTATGGCTGCAAGTGGCCAAGTGCTTACATGAAATTGGAGTAACACCACTGAATAAATATATGCCATCATTTTTTAGTTCCAATTAAGAATACTATTTATTGCTAAATGTTAGTCTTATAGTTTTGGTATGAGTAGTGTCTTGGTTTCCAATTTAACACAGAAAACAAGTATTCACAAGGTTGTGGGTTGGTGAGTGTGACTCAATCAAATCAGGGCTTAGGGCCATGACTATCATTTATATACAGTTATTGAAGTTGACATAAGAGTTGCTCTTGTGCTAGATTTTGCTGTTTTGAATAGTTATTTATTGATATTTTTTCCTTTGGTGCAGATACATGTTTAAAGAAATCTAAGGATGATGAGATTCTGTTTGAGACAATACAAACATTCAAAAGAGGTGAGTTTCTGCATGAGGCCACAAAGCATTGCCTCTCTGATGTACACGTGTGACACTCACAAGTAGCTCTGTGCTTATATGTTTACATGATTGGTGAAGTTACTGGTATCAGCCACACACCCTTTGTATTTTTGTACCAGCACTAAAACTGTTATGTGCTGAATAATTCAGTCATTTTTATAGCCCCATACTTGTGTTTTGGGACAAAAGATTGTAATGCAGCTTCAAAAGCTACATTGTTTATGTGACAGACTTTGACTTATGCAATGTTTGTCCCCCAGATTTGGAAGAAAAAAATGCATCATTGAAAGAGAAACAGCATGCCATTTCTGAAGTGATATCTGAGATTCAGCAGAAGGAGATGCAGAAAGATGACATTATTCAGAAGATAGAGAAACTTAAAGAAGAACAAGCCAAGAGAAAAGAGTGTAAGTTCATATTTTAAAATTAAATAAATGGTGTAGATCACAGATCTTAATTTGTATCTGTAGAATACAGACCCCTATACTAGTTTGTTTTTCTCTCTTTCAGTAATCGTGTCTCAAAATAAAGCAAACAAAGACAGACTGAGGAATCTCCAGAAAGCCAGACTAATCTTTCAAGATCATTTGGGGATGGAGATACGAACAATCCTTGGCAAAACACAACCGGTTAAAGGTATGTTAAACACAAACATGTACATTTCCATATTAGGTATCTTTCTTGAGTCCATCACTGTTTTTCTGCATTAATAACAATTGATATGGCAATTTTTGGGAGTTGCAATTCTTGTATAGCTCAGATGGTTTTCTAGCCGGGTAGCCCTCTTGCCTGAAACTTGTGGGCTCTGAGTCTAATAAGAAATAGGTTTGTATCCTGATAGGATTGCCCTCTTTTGTTGCTTCCTAGCAAAACACTCTCACAAGTGTAGAAATAACTTTAAATTCAAGCAATTTAGTCATGTAGGTTACACCCACTGATGACCCCAAAACCAACAAAAAATAAGTGGTTTAATGAGAAATACAATCTAGCAAGGATTACTGTACAGGAGAAAGGGCTATACTAGATCATAGAGGAAAAGGGAGTAAACAATACCTAACAAACACATTCACATCTTTGTGAAACACACAACGGTAATTGTAGCTTGTCTAAAGTTGAAGTAAATATGATTTTAGGATTTACAGAATGTGTTTTTTGTCCTTGTCAAGGTGAAAAGTTGCAGTTTGTTTTCCGGAATATCAACCCTTCAGATCAGGACAGCGCCTACGTTGTGACAATGGGGATTAAAGAAGACGGATCTTACCAGAGTAAGTTAAAAACACAGAAACACCCACACTGTATGTCAGAAAACTGCTGTAATAACAAACTTGTGTGCAGTGTAATGAAAGTGTGGCTTCCAAGCCAATCTATTCATATCAGTTTATCTCCCTCATTTAAAGGATATGACTGGCAATATTTAATTTTCTCTATTGTCACAGAAAAAATAGAAAACACCAAAGCAAACCATCAATTGATCCTATTGAAACAATATTGATTGTGTACCCAAAATCAATCAGTATGACAGCCACTTTTACCATGAAACCTCAAAAACATGCAATTTTGGGTGTGTTAATTTTAAATGTCACTAACTTCACTTGAGATTGGAGCAGTTTTGGTTGCATATTAAACACAAAGGGCTCTAAGTCCAATGGTCTTAAGCTCGTGGCGCAGATGCATTTAGGACGTGTCCATATCACTTTTGCTATTTTAACGGTGGAAAAAAAAAGTAGCTGCGCTAGGCGCATGGTTCTAAAGGGTTCTACTTTGTCTCTAAATTATTCAGTGTTTTGGGTATAACATGCAATAAACCAACCAGAGTGCCATCTTCCATTCCCTTTAAAAGCCAGGCACGCTTGCCCCTTGGCAGATTGCGGTTTGTGGCGATTTGATTACAGCCTAGTCCCAGCATACGCATGCAGCAGCTCTGTGGGCCCTGAGGGGCAAAGAAGGGTTGAGCGATTCAATGGGCTGGGCACAGCTCTACAAAAAAGCAATGGCACAAATACAACATTAGACTTCTTTTATTTTATATTATGAGAAGTGCAAATACATTTTTGGTTTATTTTGAAACTGGTGGGCCACATTTAGTTTAGGGGATGAATGGGAAACACTGTGGCACCTCTGCTTGTTCGTAACAGACAGAGTGTGTGTACATCGTGTGCCATCCTACAGGTATGTAGGCGCATATTATTCTCCTCACATTGAGCCCTTAAAATAACAGTGAAATACTGTGCCACTGACTTGAGACCAGGTTTTTGTTGGTCAGTTGAACAATTGCTTTTCATTGCTGCAAGACAGTAGTGTGCCATCAAGGGGCCTGACCGCACCTCATTTTAAGACCAACACCATTGTGGGGCTTCATAGGACCAAAACTAGCAACATAGAAGTGAGTTAGGGTAGATCTAGCGTTTGTAGTTGTTGCTGTGTTATCATTTGCTGCCATGCGAGTTGCAGATTTAAGCTTGGTGAGCCGTATAAGTATGGGAGCTGTGCATTAAGAATCACTGATCTAAAGCCTGATGTAGCTTATTTCTCTGTGCCATCGAGCTTCACTGTTGTCCAAAAACATTTCTGAAATGTTCCTTCATTCTAATGAACACGACCACTGTATATGTATGTGTATTTCGAGTCATTCCTGTATTCCTGTTCTACTGCTGTAAATACTCACTAATGCACGAAATGTGTATTAATCCACGGCTGAAAGTAGTCCTTAAAATTTAGCATCTACTCCTGTTTGAGTAACATTTGCTAAAAACTACAGTGCCTGGCTGTTTCGGGAGATTATTTGACCTTAAAAATAAAGCTATACATTTGTGACTAATTTTTCAACATTTACATTGGAACAAATGGCTGTGGGGAGCAGTGCCACAGACAGGAAAGTTAAAAAAGTTTTTTATTGCACCCAAAGCTTTGGCCTTTTCAAGGGATATGTTGACAAAATAAAAATATTAAATTTCACTATCCTATCCTATCCACAATAAGCATTGCAGATTGCTTCTATAAGATTTACCTAAATCTTCGATTTCTACAGTTGTGTCTAGTGACCCTGCACTTGAGTGTTTGCCAGTCTTGGAAAGCCGGCTTCAGGAGACCAATAACTTACCAGCATTCCTGGCAAATGTCAGGAAGGAGTTTATCTCTCAGGCTCGCTGCTAAGGTTGGAAGGATGGAAAGACAAGGAATCATGCAGGGAAGTTCTTGTTGCAATGTGGACTAATATAAGCAAGAGGACCCTATGTTCCAGAATCTGTTCATATTCCCCTTGATTAACTAAAATGTAAAGCAGCACAGTTTTAATCTATATCCACAGCCCTGTAACTAACACATTATCTGCTTTGTCAAGACTAATATGTATATATGGATTTACAATACACCTTTGTGGGCAGCAATTATCGCACAATATAAATAAATTTGGACATCTAACTGCATAAGTACTGGTGTTTTATGTGTCCTCTCTCATTTGTTCAGAGCATGGTCATGCTTCAGTTCACTTAACTGTATTCACTTCCCAAATCAGATGTTCTTTAAAAGTAAAGATAAATTATTTGATTATTCACATGTTGATGTAAACAGTTTTCATTTATTTTTCATGTTATTACTCATCTGAAGTATATAGTTTTATTTTCCTGGGCTTCATTTTCACTTGCATTAATCATATCAATCTATTAAAACATATTTATTCAAATCTTCACAATAGTTGAGTTTGGCTGTACACTGTGGCATAAATAATGGAAAAAAAAAAAATCATTGTTTGGATATAAAAGTTCAAATACAGTGTGAATCCTAACAGCATTACAAAATAACTCCAGCAACCAGTGACAAAAATCATAGATCCTATCAGCAGAGGAACATGTATTATCGAACTGAGTGCTATTGTTTTTATAAACAATTTTAAAGCCACGAATATCATTAGTCAGTACATAGGCGGGAACTTGACTTGTATTTTTAATTCGTATGAGGCCTTTCAGCCATTGCCATTTTGTTGTTCATGTGTCAGGTCAGTCAGGCATCAGATGATTTGACACTACAAAAGACAGGCAGCTCCTCAACATAGGCTGACGGGAAATGGCCTGTCTGCCCATTAAGTTCACCAAACCACCAACCATTCTCCTCTTTTGTGTAAATGTCGAGAAGATCTCCTGTGAAACACAAACAAATCATTTTATTAGTTAAGATATAAACTTCTGATGTTGAAATAATCTGCAGCTTAGTTGCAATTTACCTTCTTTCAATGTCAATTCGTCATCCTGTTCAGGAGTGAAGTTGTAAAGGGCCTTGCATTTTCCCATACTGCGCAACTCTGATGTTTGACCTACAAAGTGTTAGTATTTTTTATAGCTGTAATTTCATTGGAAAATTTCCAAATGTGGTTATTAAAAATAAATCTGCGTGTGTGTGCTCTTGAAATGTCTTACCCTCTCCTTTGTCATCACCTGTGTGAGGTAGGGCTCCATTGACAGTGCTGTCACACTCTACAGCTTCCTTTTCATGTGTTGAAGCTGTGGAGGTGACCTGGTCACTTGCATCTGGTGAAGGCTCCACAGACTGTTGTGTCACAAGCTGAGCCGGTCCTTTGTAAATGATGGAAGCTCTAAGTGACTGTCGGGATCTGAATGGTGTCCTCCTGAGTTTGACTTGACGGGTCAGTTGAACAACACTGTGCTCACAGTCCTTTGACAGAATAATAGTTTGGGTTATGTTTGATCATCTGCATTATTTCTCTTTAGAAATGTTTAGTAGGACAGTAAACATACAGTGGTTGGCAGCTATCGCCAATCCATGTTGTACGGATTAGAGCTGAAACAACTAATTGATCAAAAATGAAATGGCAACTATTCTGATAATTAGCTAAAATGCCAAACATCACCAGGTCCAGCTTCTTTTTCCTGGATTTTGCTTTTCCTTGTATGTGAAAAAAATGGATCATTTTCAGACCTTGCGCTGTTGGTCAGAAAAACTATTTAAGATATTTTAAGACATCTCCTTGGGCTTTAGGAAATTGGAACAATAATTATTCTCTATATTTTCATTTTTTATAGATCAAGAAAATAATAAGTACATTGTTCCATATGAAAATAATTTTATTGCAGGACTAGTAGGAATGCAAAATTGCCCAAGCCTATTTAAAATAATAGAGATCAAGGTTCCCGTGTTGCATATTACAGCTAGTGTTGATGATGGGGTACTTCAGGGGCTGTCGGGGTAAATCAGACAAAAGAGGTTGGGAACCACCTATAATATCTGGAACCTAACCGAGGCACCCAGGCAGCAGTCGCTTAATTCAGACAGAATAACCAAATGAGGAGTACTTGAATTAAAAGACTGTCACAATAAGCATAACCATCACACTGTAGTTCCAGTGGACCTGCTTTAAATGCAGCCATTACGCTGAGGGAGAGCCTAATTATTTGTTTTCACATCAGGACTTTTGTCATTAATGTGGGGATTCAAACCAGGGACATTACAATCACAAACTCCCAATGATAACCAAATAAGCTACCATGTAATATAAACCAACAGACTGTCCTGAGGATGATACATGTAGTCTTACCTTATCTTTCCATTTCACAATGCTGTCACTAAATCGATGAGAGGACCTGGGTTTTCCTTCTAATTCAAACAGTGATACGGACAGTTTGTAGTGAGTTGCCTCGAGGAGATCCAGTTTTAGAGTGCTCTGCAGGTAATAAGATGACATTAATCAACCCATCAACAAATCTAATCTATGATCAGTTTAAAGTATATATCCATCTTTGTATCCACCACTCTCCATCTTTTCTACACACACACGCTGAATGCTGTTTACCTCATCAAGCTGCTGTTCAGTTTCCTCAAGGTTCTTTTGGTTTGAGAATGAAGGATTTTCAGAGTACATTTTCATCAGCTTTTCAATTCCTGCAACAAGAATATCAAAGGTGACTTAGAAACAATTTCAATTACCTTATTTTGCACTTTCCATTATGAATCAACAATTTTTACATCTCCATCAAATAATATTGTTTAATTTTAATGCATTATTTAATGGATAGTGTGCTCAACTAACCTTCACAGTCTTTCTTTGTTTTTGTAATACTGTCCTCCAGACGCTGGAGTTTGAGTTTGATGGCCTCTCTTCTTCGGTCTTTTCCCATCAGTGATTTGCTGTCCTCCTCCTGATTTACCAGAAAACAGATAACATGTATTTATCGAATCACGCCACTAACTATGATGGTCTTGGTGTAGTACTGATTAATGGAGTGTTTCCAGGAAATTTTACTAACATGCTATTGTTGCTATTGCACTGCACTCTGCACATTCATGTACAGTATATAACCTTTATTAAATCAGGTAAATTCCATTGAGGTTATTATCATATTTTCAAGTTAGACCTGAGTGCTTTGAATTTATAACATGTTAAAAAACAGTGACTATATCCAGTACTAGAACACACTAAAAATCAGCCGTCATGTCAGGCCCTGTCACAAACTGACAAGTACATCTTTGTAATGTGCAGCTTGCACACTCTCATCAAAGAGACACCCCATGCAGAGATGACTGGGTATGTCTTTGAATGGATGAGTCATTGGATGAATCTGTGGCCTGCAGTCAAACTTCCCTTCAAAATGCAACAGCAGATTCTGAGAGTAAAACTGCACTTACAAAATAGTCAGCCATCAAAAACTCAGCTTTGTTATCTTCAGCTGTGATTCTGTTTTCCTCCACCAGGATTTGTATGTCTTTATCCACATCCACCCTCTGGACCAACTGTTGTATCTGTCTTTGGCCCTGGAGGAAGAAAAATACATATCAGTTAAAATATCCATCATGGGATGTTAAGTATAGATGAATGTCAAGATGTCTTACATGTTTGAGGGTCTGCCCAAAACTGGACATGTGGAGGTTGTATCTATTCAAAATGTTGCACAGAAGTTCAATTCGCTGTTTCTCCAGCTCCTGTATGATCTATAAAAGCAGAAAGTAATGCTGTGATGCTTTCTGTACACACATTTAATCAACCCTTATCCAGATTCCTGACTTTGTCATTCACTCTGTGAAGCATGTAATACCCTAATATATCACCTTCTGTTGAATGATTGTCTTTTAAACCTGAGGCAAAATTAGAATAAAAACAAGGTCATAATGATTGGAAAGATTGTTCAGTAACTAAAAGATCATGGGCCAGCAGCTCAATGCCCTGCTGAAATGTCCTTGAACAGAGTTTCCACATTTTTCCATGTGCTGCTATTCTTTTCTGATGCATGTATCTCAGAAAATACAGGATGATATAAGTTTGCAGAACACACCGATTATTAAGTGCTCCAAACTGAGCACTTGGGTGGTAGACTGACCTGGTGCTTATAAACCATTTTCTGCAAACAAAAGCTCACTGGTTCAACTCTTATCACAAATGAGGTGTCCTTGAGCAAGACACTGAACCTACTGTACCTCTTCACTCACAAAAAGCTACTCTGGATAAGAGGAACAGCTAAATGCCTACAAAACAAGAACTAGGAAAACATTCTCCAGCACCTGGTAGCAGTTTTTCAGTGTGTTTTCCCACTTGAGTCTCATCTGATGACCCTCCATGTTGATGTTAAAGTACTCGTCATCCACCCGCGCCTGCATCTCTGCCGACTTAGTCAACCTGTTAAGCATCTGTTGTCAAGAACGGGAAAAAACATCTTCAGTGACCAGTTTTTGCACAACTTTTCTCTCCCAGTGTGAAAAAGCACATATGTAGTGATGAAACTAATGCGGTAACCACATATTGTAACCTTTTGTTTTTCCTTTTCTGTGCAAATCTGTTTGTTGTTCTCAACAAAGTTGAATAGAGCCTCATGTTCTCTTGTCAGTCCAACTAATTTCTTCTTTATCTGTTTTAGAAATGAGGAAACACAAGAAATTGCATAAATAAATCACAACACAACAAAATTATACAGGTAAATAAATCAGGAATATGTTTACATTCAACGCTTAACTACGCTATAAACCTAATTTTAAACATATTTTGTATTCCTGAGTTTTGTCAGGTTATTTCTGGTGATGTACGTATGTTTGAGATGCTTTTTAAGTCTTCGAGGTTGATGTGAGTTGGGATATTTTTATAACAACTTTGAACTGCAAGATTCGAAACATGAGCTGTTGCACTAGAGAAAATGACACACACTAAGCCACATACAGAAGGCGTAACAGGGTTTAAAGTTTAAAAAAAAATAAAAAATTACAACTGCTTGTTAAACCATTTATTGTTTGACATTTCTATATTTATATTTCAGTTATCATTTTATTCAGTCATTATCAATTTCATAACACATTATCGCACTTTCATAATGCAGCATAAAAGTTTCTAATAGCTTCGTAATGTATGATGTTCCACAGCAACAGCTAAAAGTAATTTTAAGTATAGTCATAATACTTTATAAGGTCAAACGTCACAGTGGCCCATGATCAATCTGCCCATTTTACAAGAAAGGCTATAATGTCATGTGAGCATTATGGTGTTTTCTCTAAACATAATGAGCAGAAAGTGTAGTTATGTCTGATTGTAATGCCTTCATGACAGCACTAGGATTTAAGACTTTAAACCTGCCATGCAGAATGAATTCTTGACCTTGTGAAATGTTGGGATCCTACTTTTAATGTCTTGTCACTATTTTAACACAACGTAAAGCATTATTAAAGCTTATAGCATCTCCTAATGCTCCTAAATCTATAATAGATTATAGATACATGCTTTAAACAAATGTTTCATGGATTAAGGATTTATGGATTAACATGATGATAATTGTCTTTGCAGCAGCTGAATCTTAACTACACAATATTTAAAGTGTTTTTTTTTCCTTTTTCTATTTGGAGGAAGGTTCTTTACCTTGAGCTGCTCACTCCAATTGGCAGTAACAAGTTTTCCAGTTCTTTCAATGGCACTGTCAAGCTATTGAAACATACTAAAGGTTAGAAAAACATCATAACTTGAGGTTAGAACAGAGATAACAAAACAAACAAACTAATGAATGACATACAGGCCTTTTCCTCTTATTATGCTCGTCTAAGACTTGTCGTATTTCCAGAATTGCTTCTTGTTGAAATGCATTTCCTAATGATCTGGAATGAGAATAACAATGCCATGTTTAACTCCAGACCTCCCTTACATGTGTATAATCTCTGGACAGGCACAGTTATGAAGTGAACTGAAAACTGAAAACTACCTGTGGGCGTCGGCTCTTGAGTACATCTCATCTGACACATGACACCAGGCACTGTAGGTGGAACTGAGTGGGGAGCCAGCAGGAAAAGGTTAGAGCTGTGGGCTAATTAGTCTGACGCTATGTTTTGCTCATGTCTAACCTGCTTGGTGCATGCTATTTTCCATGATACCATTATTTCTGTACAACACATGGCAGTTAGCCCCCAGGAAGATATTATGTCAAACACAAAACAGACAAAAATGGTAACAATTAAAAATTTAGCACCGTCCCTTACTTGTTTGACATTCCTTTGGAGGCCCTGATGAGTTTGCCAGCAAGTTTTTGCAGTCCTTTAGCATAAGTAAGTTCCAGCTCAGCCCTAAAACAGGAAAAGGTTGCAGCAAGGGGGTGATAACTGAGTCAAACAATAACTCCTGTAGTCATTAAAACTGAGTGTGAATGCCATAGCTGTACTGAACCTACCTTTGCTGAAAAACTGTCATAAGTTCTTTGCAGAAGTTCTCCCCACTTTTTGAAAATCGTTTCACATTTTGATACAGTAGGTTGTACTGAAAGACAGTGAATAAGCCTCCATGAGATTTTTGCAATAATGGACTGAATCAACTGAGTTCAAACCCATACAAAGTTAGATGTGATTGATATAGTGTTGACACCTGCCTTACAAGAAAATTCATATAAGACAAAGTTTTTTCTCCATTGCACTGAATTTTCAAAAGACATACTCACAGAGCAGCTGCTGATAGGATCCCTCATCTTAAGACTGTGGTTGTTTGTTGACTTTGGACCTGGAACTTTGACCACCCTCCTCCCAAAGTCACTCATGCGGAAATCACCTGAGCTTTTGTCAGTGCACTATACAAAGGAAAATTCCAGTGAGAGGGAAGAAAAAAAGACACTACAAATATAAACTGAGGGTGGATGGCAAGTAATTCTGGCACAGGTATAAAGAAAGGGAAAGATACAAACACAAAACAAAGGCCCATTCATGTTCCTAAGCCTGTCCGTGGTGACTACAAAAGTTATATTACACAATCAGAATGGCTTTATTATTTTCTGTTGAAGTAGACCAACTGAGTGCCACTTTGCAATAGGTCACCCATTATAAATAGTTACATCAGTTTCTTATTTGGACATCCTGAAGACACAGACCATCATTAGCATTCATTTGGCCTGTCCAACACTAATCTAACACTCACTCTTTTTATATTTATATATTTTGGTCATAACCAACTCCTCCGGGAAAAATCTGGCTCTTTAGTTCTTAAATGCTCCACTATGTTCACCAGCTAGTTGCTAACTGTGTCTGTCTGTTGTTAGCAGGTAGTGTGCAATGTTTTTTTTTTTTTTTTTTTTTTTTAGAGCTTCTTCACAGAAAAGCCCCCTGAGGCTGAAAATGACACTTTGAGAGCTGTGAAAATAAACCAAAACAACAAGCTGGAAGATGCTAAAATACTGCGTAGAGCTGAGGGGAACAGAGATTTTGCTCTGTGAGTTCATCTCTTCAAATCGTCCCTTTCACATACAAGAAGTGAAACAATTGATAAGTTTGTTGATTGATAAGCTGATATAAAAAATATAGATTATAGCTGCTTAAAGGTGCATACCATAATTGCAATGTCCCTGGTTCAATTCTGGCCATGGACCTGTCACTTATAAACCTGCTTTATTATAAAGTGGTTCCACTAATGATGAAATTAAAGTAACAGGTGCCATTATTTGGAGATGATTCTTTATGACTCAGACTGTTGGATTATTCATGTGTAAGTCAAGTCAAGTAGGTTGAGTAGTAATTGTATTCATCTCAAAGCAGACATTGGAGGTGAATTGTTATTAATGTGTCTTTGAGGACACTACAGAGGAAGCTGATCTGTTGCATGCTTCTCAATGGATCTTTTTCACAGCAAACATTTTCACTTTTCATAGTTGGAAAAACACAAGTGCTTCTAATAACATTAGCAGTGGCATGACAGTGACAGTGTGGCAGTGAGCCAGCATGCACAATGTCAGAGCCCTGAAACTGAAGCAGCGTACATGGCATTTATCCATGATTCATTTTATTATTTACACCTTTGCTTTTCCTGCTGTTACATGTCAAAATGCCTGCTGTGAAAAAAGCCTTATGCAAATTGTCACACAATGTTTATTCAAGAATAATCTCTAGTCATTATTTATAGCACTGCAATGTTAGTTTACAAAATTAATGTCTTTATAAAATTAGCATCCACCATTGATGCCACCATTTGATTAATACATTTTCTGATTGAACATATCCACACGTATTTGCAGTCTTCATGTATTTTTTTATTGAATAATTAAAACAACTCAGGTCTGCCTCGTAAGACAGCAAATGGCCTTTAATGAAATGCTTACCAGAAATGTACCAGAATACTTAACAAAATGCTTCAATAGGGAATACAGCATCTAGCCATATCTGATGCACACACATAATACTGTTATTGACATCTCATATACAGTTTGAGTGGAGAATGTTTGTTTGTTTTTTTTTTTAAATGTGAGTAAACTTCACACATTACAATCCATTGGTGAGTGAAGACAAACTCAGTCATCGTTTTGGCAAATCTTTGGGGGTGTAGCATTAAAAGTAAACCCAGGTCTTCAGCACTTTGCTAATATTTGTTGTCGTGATGTGTGGCTTAAAAAAAAACAAAAACAGCTGTGTTGTTGTTCCAGATGATTTCCTCTTTAACACTGACATCAAAGTAGAATAGATGTCCAACTACCATCTTCAAACATATTTATAAAAAATAAATAACATAGAAAGACACAAACATAAGGAAAACACACCCCCAGTATGCCAGACTACTGTATGTTAAAGTAGCATGCTTACACCATAAAGTGGAATGCTTTCATTGGCTAAACAGAGTGGGTTGTACCAATAGGAGTGCTTTGATATCTCGGTGTGCATTTGGATGCAAATACATATATGAAGAGAATAAATTGCGCAAGGAAATTAGTAAAGAATCAAATTGATAACAAAACTGCATTCACTTAAATCTTGTAAGAACTTCCAGTACCAGACAGGCGATGTTGTTCAAGTCTCCACCATACACTCAAATACACACACACACACAGATTGATGGATGGTGTCTGTAGCATGGCTCCAGTGTTGTGATATCAGCTTAGTCAGTGTTCGTCGGGATATGGGGCTCCTGTCAGGTAGCCGTTGGTCCCGTGATTTTTATTGGTCCCGTTGGTGGTGCTGTTGTGGTGCTTCTGATGGGGTGGGGGGCTGTCATCCTCATCAGAGCTGGACTCGATGTCGCTGCGGTCATCTTTTGACACCTGCAGCAATAAAAAGGGATGGTCGGAGATTAGATTCTTCTCATTAAAATTCTTGTCTCTGTCATTATCTGTGGCAGTCATGCATGGTGGTGTCACAAATGGGCTTTTACATATCAAACAGGGAAGTGTTCTATGCCAATCAATATGAAGCAACAAGCTGCAAAAGCCATAAAATCAATTTGCAAACTTGAAATATGGAGATATCTAAACAAAACATTTTTTTAGACAGCAGCTGATTATTTTCGGTCTAATCAATCTCTTGATTATTTCATCAGGTTGATAGCTTAATTGTTTAGTCTGTAAAATGTCAGAAAATAATGGAAAATGCCCATTTCAATTTCTCAAGCTTGTTTTATCCTACTAGCAGGTGAAAACCCATAGATGGTCAATTTAGAATGATATAAAACAGAACAGCAGCAAGTCCTCACGTTTGAGAGGCTGCTACCAGAGAATGTCTGGCATTTCTAGGCCCTATAAATGATTAATTGTTTATCAGACTTGTTGGCAATTCATTTTCTAACAATCACATAATTGACTTATTAACACTAGACATTATGTAATTTGACATGCCAGGTGTCAATTTATTCAGATATAATAAGCTATTTGGGATTTATGAATAAATTGACAAATAATTGCAGGAATACCAATGAAAAGCTGCAACAAATGGTGATGATGAGATGGAAGATTTAAACAAGGCTAAGAGTCTACAGCCATGCTGGCAGGTATTTGAGGCTGAACTTAGGCAGAGCGGTAATTTAAGCTAAATGCTAATGTCAGCACACTAACGTGTGCACTAAGCATAAAGTACAGCTGAAGCTGATGGTAATGTTATCAGTTTTACAGATATTTAGTCATAAACCAAAGTGTTAAATAAATCAAAATTTTGACCTGATGATAGCGCTATAGAAAAAGTCAGAAGCTCACCAAAGTTATTACATTTCATCCTGAGGGGAACATGAATGTATGTGCCAAATGTCATGGCAATCCATCTGACATTTGCGATATTTAAGATATTTCAGTCTGGACCAAAGTGGTGGAGCGTCCAACTGACTGACATTGCCATCCCTGAAGCCATAACGCTAGTGTGACTACACATGCACTGATTAGGTTAGAGCTGATTGACAGTCAGGATCATGATGAATACAAATGATTACACACAGTTGCTATAGACATGCCCTCAAACTAAATATAAGGTACACCATGTTGATTAAGCTGTTCCCCTTTTAAGGCTACTCACATGTAAGGGATTCCATTTTCCCACCTCGAAGGTTGCAGGTTAACATAGAGAACACAAACAGAAAGTCAGTGGCTGTTGAACACTCTACACAGTATTAATGGATATATTAGCAGCGAAACATCATTATGCAAGAACAGGTATAAATGGAAGAATTATGTAGAAAGACTCAGAGGAGGAGCTGTGTGTAATGACTCACCTTTCCTCTGGATATAGCTCGGCACGCCGTCTTCACTATGAGGTAGGACCAGAAGGAGTGAAGAAGCTGCAGCAGGATCAGAAGCAGGTTGAAGACCCACCAGGACGGGTAGGGCCCTACAATCTCCCAACTCTCAAACAAGGTGGTATTTAAAATCCTTCCATAGCCACAGAGGGGGGAGAGAGATCATTAACTCCAACATTTTTCATTAGAAAAACACAAGGATTAAAAGCACTCAATTTGAGTGGGGGAATTATTGTGTAGAAAAAAAAAACCAAACAGACGCCAGGGAAAAGAAATGAGGTGGGCTCTGCTCCAGCTCTTTGTCTTTCATGGAGCACCTTTAATGATGCGTTTATAGCACAAATAGATGTGTATTTGAAATAGTGTTTTGTTTATAGTTCAATATATATACAGCAATAAATCGAAACATTATAATAAAAAACGGTTAATGGAGTAGAAAAAGCGATGCAGCGCTGCGGCGTCATGACATACGATCAAAATTTCAAGTATCTGTGACAAATTTATCTCTGGGACAAATTCTTGCAAATGGCTGTCTGTGAATCATACTCCAGATACTGAAGCCATGGCAACAGCTTTACAGTAATGACAACTTTACTACCGCTGTGGTGGGGGCTGACTAAAATGTAGTGTTGGATCATCATATTACAGTGTGGCAACAAAGGCAGAAAACAGTGGGGTACCGACCGAAATCTTTTTAAAAACTCTTAAATTGCTGCATCAACTCATCCAAAAGCCTCTGTGTGTCTCAAATGCTTTCTTCAGAATTGCCCTACTTGTTAAAGACAACAAACTTGAATCTAGATGCTCAAAATAGCATTTTTGTGCTGATCAAGTTTAGATGGTATCTCAAAGAAAAGCAAACAAGGTCTGCCTGATTTGGAAACTAAATCATGTCTCCCTTCACTCATGAAAGGTATGATAACACTGCTGCTGATGACTTCAAGATGACTGTTGCACGCACTTTCAAGGACTAAAATTGATTAGTGGTAATTCTGCAAATAATTCAGGGTCATCAGAATGGCTCATTGTAACTGGCTTTCACCAGCTACTGTAATTAGACTTTTAAATGTCTGGCCAAACAAAGCCAAATAAATGATTTAAAATATTTAAACCTGCCTCTATTCTCTGGTACAGAAAATTTGATAGAGTAGCTCCAACTTAAAATGTTGAATAAATTCAATGCACATTTAAAACTGAAAAAGCAACACAAGCAAAATGATCCTAAAGCCCTTTGATGTTTTAACAATTAGGTGAAACTCTAGACACTGTTTTCAATGATAAAGCAATAACCATAATGATCTGCGGTTCATTTGTATGGCTTTCTTTGAGAGGTTAAAGCTGCTGTATCCATAGTAACTATTTCTTAGCAACAATATTCACAGAGATGTGTCTGAACTGCAAGTCGTTGTAGAGAAAGTAGTTAAAAAAAAAAAACCCCACTGAGATCAGGAATGGCCTGCTAAACTGTGCAGAGCAACTCAGACATCTACTGCTCAGATATTTTAACTCTGACTGTCTGTGTGCACTGCAGCGTATACAAATGGCAGGTTAACACTACTTCACTATAGCCAGCCATCAGAGGGATGCTAATGATGGTACACAGGAGAAGAGAGAGGAGAGAATAACACTTACCAGACAGGGTAAACTCCCAGTCTGGAACTTATGAAGAGAATTGCAAACATTGCAAACAGGAGGTTGCACAGAATCTGACATTTGGCATAGTTGGCCATCTTGGCAGCCTGGTGAAAAAAATGCACAATTAATTTTATCATGTAAGCCACTACTTGAATTTATTTCTGACAGTATAAGACTTAAAAAGCTCTTGTTTCCAGCAACTATATCTGTATAATACAGTCTGACGTAATGCTCATGATATAAGAGTTGTATTCAAATATAGATAAAGATGTAAAAGTCCAAACACTCCACCCACACACCCAGCCAGCTTTGCCTCTATGTGCCCATCTGTCCATCTATAGCATTTAATTCTCTCGCCCATCCTCACCTCTATCAGCACGTCGGCTGCATCATGGAGACACATGACCAGACTTCCCACTCTTGCCATGTTGTTCACGTAGGAAAAGGTGATGAGGGAGATTGTTGCTACGTGGTGCAGGAACATGATCAGGAAATCCTAGGGACACAGTTGCCAAGGAAATGTCACACAACCATAGAAAGCACTTTGAAAACTGCTTGATGGCTGTTTGAGTCACTGCATGCAGGACATAGTAGTACAGTACAAAAATGTGATAAAGTAAAAGGGACTTGACTACCCTGTGTGCACACAGTGGCCTTGCGTGTTTACACCGATGAAAATTCTGTAGTTTCAATATGACAAGGCCCCCACTGCTAACTAATATCAGCTGAATTTGTGGGACCATTGTGCAACACAGTCGAGCCTGTTTCCAAAACGAGCAGAAGAAGCACCACATTTATGTTTTCATGTCCTTAAAATGTGCTTTGCCCAAGTAAGTAGCTGCACATGTGATTATTGTGTAGACCAATGCCTTTCAAAATAAAACCTCTATTTTGCTGAGGCATGTTCATCATGTACCACCGTGATTGGCAACACTATTGAAAAGATATTAAAAAAAATTTATGACAAGGCCATGATTAATCACCACTTATACAAAAATACCAAGTACATCCTCAGTGTCCAAGCATTCATGAACACTGTGTCATCTGATTGTCATTGTGTCAAACTGTAATACAGTTATCTCAAAATATTATTCAAAGCAGTGGTGGAGGAACATGCAGATCAGTTAATTAAAAAAATACTGCTTTACAAGTAAAAGTGCTGCATTCAAAATGTTTCTAAGGTGAGTATTATCAACAAAATGTAATGAAAGTATCAAAAGTACCCCTAAGCAGAAAAATGCCCTCTGTGACTGTCATACTATTATATATTACACTGCATGTTTCGATTGTTATTGCTGATGCAAAAATGAATGAGCAGTGTTTTATTGTTGTAAGTGGTCATGGTGGAGATATATTAATGTATTTATATACTATTGGGTAGTTTAATCTATGAAAATACATTGTATTTTATAAGTTCATAATATGGTTTGCATGTAAAATCTTAATTTGTGAAGTAACTACTATAGATGTCAATGGCGTTAAAGGTATAATATCGTCCTCTGAACTGTAGTGGAAAGTATGGAGAGTATGAAGTGGCATGAAATTGAACTACACAAATAAAGTACACATTTAAGTACAGCACTCGAGAAAATGTGCTTAGTTATTACATTCCACCACTGTTCCAACTAAAAACAATCACTATTGTGGCTACAGTTAATATCTCGTAAAAATATATGACCGTTCCTGTTATTATATGGTCCTATCTTGGTATGAGCCATTAGGTTTGGGATTTGCTTGAATGGAGCTCCAGGTGACTAAGGATGCAGACAGGTGACATGGGGAAGCATTCCTCTAGCAAATCTTTAGCTACTGAAATGTCTCAGCTCAAAGCGACCAGAACCAGTCCAACATAGTGAAAGAATGAGAAGGAGGGTGAGAAGGAAGAGCAATGGTGCAAGATACAGAATGAAAGCAAGGCAAGAGTGTGCAGGGGAGAACATACTGGAATTGGCAGGGGGTGCAGAGGACCTCCTCAGTGTAGTACTGTGCATGAAAAAACTGAAAGGAGAAACAAAAACAGACAACATGCCAACAGTCAACAAAGAAGATGACAGAGTGAAGGCATACACAGCATGGCATCATGGGGGCTGCTGTGAGTGCAGTGAGTGGAGTGTGTTGTGGAGAGGGCAGAGCTGGGAATGGACTGGAGACAGGAGTAAGATCATGGCTGAAAGGCATGCAAATTGATACTTTAATGAACCAAACGTGTGGCCATTTTTATATGTAGCTATATAAAAAAAGAATGTGAGTTGAAGTTAGTTGCTGCCCATTAAGAGTGTTTGTACAAACTGAAAATGAATCTCAGTTCTTACAAACACAGACCAAGATGGACCTATCAAACCTTGTAATACAAATGCAGTACACCTTCATATGCTGTATATATGGTTAATGACACCTGAAACTAAACATTATACCTAACTGGCTGATACATGAAAAAAGAAATAACAATTACATATATACATACATCTATTTTTTTCAGTTTTAATTATGACTGGGCAATAAAACTAGGCCCTCTGTATTTCTTCTTCCAGGCTTAACTTTAAATCTGTTCGTTTAGTGAAATGGCTCTTTAAAATCATTTAGATAATACCTGCATATTGAATGGCACCATCTTCACAATAGTATGGAAATTTGCTGAGTGGATTACACAAAAACTTTTAATTAACCAAAACAAGCTCAAAGCCAGCCAATGGCAAAAAGTTTGAGAAAAGTTTTTATGAAGTTTGACGGTGAATCCAATTTCTGAATGTTCAAAAAACTGCTAATCCTTCTTACCCTCGCAATGTTTTGTTATTTCACACACCAGTGAGAATACACTGAGGCAGAAAGCAAATGTTCACATGCAAAAACATTACGGAGTCATGGTGACAGTTAGAGAAGAGACAGTCAGACAAGGATAATGATGCCTTGTTATATCGCTACTTACAATGGCAGAAACAGAACAGAATTGTCTGGTTTAGACACAAAAAGTGACTAAAAGTGTCACTTCTAGCAGTAGATTTTTGACCAAACATTCAATGATCCATGTTATTAGAGATGCTTTGGTGTGACTTGCAGTCATTCTTACCTTCCTCCTGATGTCTGTGAATTGGGAAAAGAGTAAGGAGAGGTAGAAAGACAGCTCCAGTATATAGTAATAATGGATGTCCACAGTCAGTGGCTGCATAAACACACAGAGCAACAGGGTTAAAACAAATATTTTGGAAGTGGGAGTGTTGGTAATGCCAGTCATCTTGCTGTATCATGATTACTGAGGATGGGTGAAAACTGCTTTGTTAAAAGACCTTTACCTGGTAGGGGTAGTTGTACCAGCACTCTTTAGTGTTCCATAACCATGGAGTCTGCAGGAAATAAAAACAGTCACTTAAAATCAATACACTTTAACCTATATGAAACAAATAAAACTATATCATCTTAGATTATTTTATATTTGAAATATAAAATATCATAAAACTGTGATAGAATTACTAAAGTTAAGACAGTGTTGTAATTAATGCAAAAACTCCAGGGACAAAAATGGCATGTTCCATACATGACAAAAGCTCATATGTTGTATTTCATAAAAGTAAAACAATGTTATCAATTAGCCAAAACAAACCAAAAAGGGTATTTGACACAAAGTTGTGTTAAAGCCTTTCAATAAAACATAGAAAAGCAGGGTCCATTAACTACAACATCAATGCAGTGCTATGTTGTTCCCAGATGTACAGCTGGAGTTCAATATTTCCTTGTTATTTAACATCTAACACGTAGATATCAATGTAACCACTGAAAATTTTATAATTCCCTTGATGGATTCCAAATCAAATCAATGTGGTTTATTAAATAGTGAATGTATAACAGATTTACTTTTACAGTGCATACTTTGATGTAAAAGGAAGCAAGATTACCAAGGAACCAGAGGCGTTTAGCCCTATATGAGGTCCTGTGTAAAGACATGATATCAGGACGAATAGAGAAATGGTAACTGTGATACTAAAGAATGTGTTATAAGCAAACAGTGACCCATCGCTGAGTTTACATCTCCAGACCTGGTCTATTAATAAACCCCACAGCGACTGAAGCCTGCAGTAGGGACTGCCAAGGAATGAACTATTTTCACAAAGTGCTATGTCATGCAACTTGTTTCTTTGAGAGATTTTCCCCTTTCTGCTGTCTCAACTATCGCTCTAGTGATTATACTAAATTATGTATTTTCATGAATATATGTATGAAATATACTAATTCATCCCAGCCACATATTTCAGTAATATTTAACTGGCTCATTTGACAAAATGACCATCATTTCTGAACTCTCACAAGGTTGCTGGTCACTCTTCAGTAACCTCAACAGCTGCTGGGAGAGTGGATTTTACTTGGCGGGATCCCCTGAACTTCGCATGGTATGGAAACACACGGTAACATTATCAGTTTTCACAAACCAAGTGAGCATTAGCTAGACTGTGAAAGTGTTTTAAAGAGCACGCTAAATCATAATATTATCTCAGATATTTTTTTAAAGCCAGTCTTACATATCTTTGAGTCACTCGGGCAGTAGTCACAATACAACAGGATGGAGAGGCATAAGAAGAACCACTTCGACATTATCCATACAACAATAACATTGTCATCTCATCCACTGAACAATAACACTATTTGTGATGTATGTTAAGTTTAGAAAATAGCTGTCAACAGCCAACTATAGTCATTTCAGCTGTTTTGCATTTCAAGTAACTGTTGAAATATAAGTATATATCAATATTGACTTCTAGCGACTGACATTCATGATCAAAAGAAAGTCATCACTGAGTGTTACAAATTGGTGAAAAATGTATTGCCTGATTAATGGATTGCATTTTTAGCATAAGGAGTGTTTTATTTGCCAGCAGCTTCCTTTTACACTGTAAGATCCTGGTAAGATCCATTATTAACAAACACCTTTTGTCCTAGGCTGTAATGCAAATTTACTTTGTAAACTTAGTCCCTTACACCATAGCTTCCATTGTACCTCCCAGTCCCATGACTAGGCATCATGCTATTCATAAACCACAGGATTTTCATGCTGGCCATAGACGTCCACACTGTATGTTGTGTAGAAAATAGCCCCAAACCTCAATGACTCATACTAACTTTAGCAGTCATAACAGGAGGTTGGTGCTCAATTGTCTTGGTAAAACTTACCTTTTTAAGGAAACGCACTCCGTAGGTAAATATGTATAGATAGAATGTAAACCTCCACCTGAAAGAAATAAAGAAAAACATAATGGATATACAGCAACAGCAAGAGTGAATGCTGAAGAATGACAGTTCTTCACCCTGGGTTGATCTAAGTTGAAGGCTACAAAAAGTCCAGAGCTAGCTTAACTGAACACACATATTCATTAAGCCTCAACAAACCTACCATTAATTTTGCAATCTTAACAATTTGTTTCATGGCATCTTATAGCCTTGAAAAAGCTGGGGGCATATCTGGCTGCTCCCAAATGGTTAGGGGCTTAGGGAATACTCCAAACTGCAAGTGTGACAGACATTATCCCTCAGATAAGCAGTGTGTTTGCAATTTACATTTGCTCCCTTTGTTTGGCTTTTTCTTTTCTACTTTGTTTTCACATTTTTTCTAGAATCTAACTAAAGCTTTATGCAGTAATTTTTAAGTCACAACAGAATTAGAAGATTAGAGAGAGAAGAAAAGTGTTTTAATCCACTCAGGCCAATTACTTGAGAATAATGGAGCTGCATCACATCCTCTAATCCAACAATAGACATACATTCCAAACTATAAACATTACCAGGGGATGTGTTAGTTCATGCAACTTGTGCTGTATACTACTTATATTATTTGGTTTTCATTTGCAGAACACTGCAGCACAGTAAGTGGTGTGAGGTCCTTACTTCTCCACATCTGCAGTCTAGGGTGACTCACTAAAAATGGGACATCACTGAATTCACATTGGTGAGGTCCGGAGGGAAAGACGAGACACTCACAGTGTCCAGTCCCGGCCCAGCCTGCTCTGTGCTTTATATAACCCTGCACATCATTTACAGTAACCACGACTACACAATAGTAGGGAAAGTGATCATGAGGTCTGAGCTTACAGGCAAAGAAGAAACTGCTTCAGCTGACATTTCAGTGATCAAAGCTTTGCTGAGCAGGGAGATGTGAATATATACCCAACTTATAACAGTCAGCAACTGGGAGGAAAGATTTAAGACTGGCTAACTAGCAAGTCCCTTTCTGCATAACTCTGGAAGTTGCATCAGACAAGAGCAAATATCTTTATGCAGGGAACAAAAGCAACTTTGACTGCAAGGCTTGAGTGAGAGACCCCCTGTTGTGCGTTCTTGAGTTGTCACAGCTTTTGACAAATTTTTCACCAGTTAGATTAAATGTTTTTTCCCAGTGGGGCCTATGTTCTAAGATATATAGATGTAAGATACACATCTGAATACAGTGTGATAGTTTAATGAAGTAAAACATGTAGAGGAGGAACAAAACACAGCCAGATTCCCCTGACATATGAGGAGAACTGCCACTATTCACTCCCGTGGCTGTGACAGAAGCTGTATAGCTTGTCATGTGAGATGAGGTTCTGCAGGTTGTACTGTGTGGTTTTTTCCAGCTGACCTCAAATCAAACACATTTTGACAGCCACAGCCTCCAAACACAACCTGACACGAACACTTTAAACGAGAGCAGGGTAAATCCATTTCAGCTTCTCAGTTCAGGCACATCTTTCATGTGGATTTTTGTTGAAGATATTCAGTTGTAACTCTTAGTGGAGAAATTATTAACATGTTAACATGTGGCCTGTGGAAGCTGTCATTAACTGCCTTTTGTGCTTCATCAACAGTATTGTAAAGCCAAATTAACTGGACAAGTCTACCTGGCACGCAGTAAAAACTGTTGCATGGCAACTGGTTCATCAAGCACGCAAGAGTCTTTTTCAAGTGCTGCTGAATCGTTGCTATATATGTACAATCACAATGACTCACACGGCTTCCTGTGAATAGATTTTTTTCTGAAGTCAGGCACAGATGGTTTTTTTTTTGTAATTATGAGTTATGTTTTCCAGATACAATGTTGATAAAGACTGGTTCTAGAGAAATGGAAATGTTTTTCATTCAATTATCTAAGGGTCAAGGGTTTATTTCCTGCTCATGATGTAGCAGCAATTAGTCGATTACACTTGTAATTAATTGGTGCTGGTTAGTAACTGTCGCAGGTTGACAAACCAGTAACAAATTTTGACTCATATGATATAATACCAGTAAGCTTACGTAATGAGTCAGGATACACACGGAACCATCATCCTTTCACAATAGCTTGATTATAGATTAATGAATTATTCATGACTGTGAGTTTTAAACTGAGACAGATCCACTGATTCCCATTAAACCAAATGTACCTGTTTAGACAGGCCGTTGCCTGAGGGAGGAAATAATTGTACTAGCTTTGATTTGATCAAAAACTAAGTAATGGGGTTGGCTTTAGTCTGAGTGTAGCACCTAGCTTTGGAATGAAATGATAAAAAGCAGGTCCTGCTGGCTTATTTGATTCAACGTTGTCACTTCTCCAGGTGGGTAGTCTAAGCACCAGCTGAATGCAACTGTTTGCTTCCAGATGGTTCAACATCACAATCAGTCATGAGCTAGCTTTAATCAAAATTCAGTTGTGAGAAAGCCTTGATATATATTCCATCTTTGCTGTTAAATCAGCAGTACCAGCTCTATTAAGCTTCAGGCAGTAATAGCTATCCTTTTCACCTTTGTATATTTGTCTAATTTGCTCTGATTACTAGGCCTGATTTCCAATTGCCCACATGAAAAAGCTTGTTAATAGCTAGTTATTTTTAATGTGGTGCCAGCCAGAAGACTGCGACTAATTTTAAGGAAAAAAACAGGGGTGTGGCCGTCGTCTCTCAAGAACATGTGTATGTGGCTCATCACTCAGCATGAGTATAAGCATGTGCCGAGCACAAACATGCTTATTAGTTGTCAGCTTGGTGTCTACTGAGCTGCTCCTAGGGAGGTGTGTTGGTTGAAAGGTATGAAAATCACACACTTACATTTTGGTTGGAGAAGGAGCAGTAATGAGGATATTGCTAATCTTAGCTGCTATTAATAGTATGTTTCTGTAGAGGTTAAGTGCCTAAATTCATCTTAAGAATTTACTGCAGGCTTTGGTTTTTTTTTTTAATATCTGACTGAAGTAAAGAAAATGAATGAATTAAGAGAGCATAGTTTTAGGGCATTCGTTGTCAAGGAAATGCAGGTGTTCATTTGTAGTTATGAATGTGAAATTTTGCAATGACCACACAACTCGAAAACAACAAACAAAAACTTTAAGGAATAGTTTAACATTCTGGAAAATATTCTGATATTTAACACAACACATCTCAATATATCTCTATTATCGTTATTTCTTGCTCATGCATAGTTACTTTTTGTAGACTTATCACAGTGACATCAGGCAAGTCACTGTGCCCAGCCAAGCGAGACTGCAGCAAATAACCCCTCACAACAGCTTACTGCTTTTATACTTCATTTTTTGTTTGGTTCAAACAAGTGAGATATCATGTGTTAATTAGTGAGCTGTTAGATGTATTCTGTTACCTTTGGACAGAGCCAGGCCAGCTGTTTCCCCCTGTTTCCAGACTTTGTACTAAGCTAAAGTAACCAGCTGCTGGCGGTAGCTTCATATTCATAGTACACATACAAGAGTGGTATCAATCTCCTCATCTAAATCTCAGCAAGAAAGGGGATAAGCATCTTTCCCAAAATGTAAAACTATTCCTTAAAAGATCCATTGTACATACTTGTATTTATATGTCTATGCCCGAAAAGCCATACCATACAAGATCCTTTGAAAACCATTTTAGCATACATCAAAGGCCAAATCTTACAGGATAAAAATACAAACTATTTAGTGATCACAGAAAAAGCCAATCTCAGTGTCTCAAGAAGCAGTGAATTGCATTATTTTGCTTACGATCATTTCTTTGCTCTCAGTGAAAGCAGAGAAGAGAAAGGACAGAGGAAGATGAGATCAGACAACTGGGGCCATTGAGGACATGAAAGCGTGATCCTGCCTCAGCCTGTCCTAACCAAGGAACACTGAAGAGAGGAGGGGTTCGCAGGTAAAACTACACTGCAAAAATTGGTGTGGTCATCTTAATCTGTCATTTAGTCTCTTTCAAAATATAATTAATATTTCCAAACACAAGTAACCTCCTTCACTGTGGTGAAATAATACCACTTCAGTGTTCAGGTCATTTTCTGTTTGTTTCTAGAACTGTTTCTATGCTATGACTGCACAACATCTGTTTTAAGAAATTTTTGGAAAGATTTCAGTTTCTGTTGTGAGAAACAGGGGTTACTGTAGGTTACTTGTTAAAAAAAAAAAATCCATGCTTGAACTTGTTGGAATGGCTTTTTTTTTTTTTTTGCTGTATATCTGTGGAAAAAGAGAGGCAATAACAATAGCTAGTAAACAAACTCCATGCAGAGTCTTCATTATTCCCTGAGCAAATGTGTCTGTTACATACTGTCTGCATAATGAAAAGAACAGACAACAGATCAGCCATCCTGACAACTGAGAGACAAAGAATGCTATCAGTCTGCAACAGCTGTGCATGAGGGCCTAATTAGAGCACAATCGCTGCTAAAGGACTGAAGCCAACCCCGTTTAGAGAATTGCATCGTAAGCAACTGAAACAGACAACCTGGCCAAACTATTGCAAAGCACAATGTCGTCTGCAGTCAATTATGCTGTATGCAGATAACAGCTTTGGCGCAATCGTTGCTTAAAGAGAACTAATGCCAGCTAAGCATGTTTTCAAAAGCTCATGCGTGTTCGAGAGGAGCACAAATCCGCTTTCTTCTTGCATGTAAGGAAACAGGTTTGCGTTTTCAGATTGCTCTTGAAGGTTGTAATAGGAGTCCATTGGTTTAATCAGCCAACACTGTCCTCCTGAGTGAACAGCAGCCTCGGGCAGATCAGAAGATGTGAGGCTCCCTGTGTCTCAAACTGCCAGATTGGCTCTACTGGTGTCAGACATGACTCTGCTCTGACAGCCACACTCGCTCATTGGCCTTTAACATCACACTGCTAAGTAACTACAATCTCCCTGATGGCAAACCCTCTACTGCAGATTAGCCAGTTCTCTATTACAGCCTGAGTGGGTTTGTTGGTTCGCACTGGGACACATTTGACTATTATCCCACAGACGCACAAGCATTCATGTTGCAATCTTCATAAGCATTGTACCAGACAGAAACCAACCACAACTGAAGTAGCTACTGAATGGCAGGTTTTGGACTATAGGAACATTTCTGTTTCTGTTTGTTTATTTACTAAAAAATAATAACAGCTGAAGCAATTGGCTGATTAATTGAATAGCCAAAAAAGTAATCTATTTAACTTTTCTGATAAATTGTTTCTGTCATTTTTCAAACAAAAATGCCAAACTTTCCAGTTTCCAAAAGTGGGGACTGTTTTGTATCATTTTAAAAGGAATATTTTGGAGTTTTAAACTATTGGTCTGATGAAACAAGTCATATGAAGATGTCTTCTTTCATATATTTAACTATTTTTTTGGACATTTTTTAGACTAAATGATTAATAATTAATAGAGAATAATCACTGTAGTAATCAATAATAAAACGAGCTGTGAATTATAGCTCTAAGAATCACCTTTAAATGACTGCCACCATTTATTTAAGTAAAACATGTTTGAGAATGTGTGCTTCTAAGCAGCCATAGTGTTTCCTTTCATTTCCATAACCAGTATGAAAATGAACTTGCAGAAACATGAAACTTGCAGGGATAAAGTTATCTATCACTGCGAACATCATGCCTGCTTTTCCTACTGTCATGGTTCTGCTATTGATGAGTGGTAATGGAGTGCAGCCTATTTAAATCAGCCTTCACTTAGAATGGCATTAAGCAGCCAACAATAAATTCACATTACACATGACAGCTACAAAGCAGACATGATGGTCACTGTGATGGATTTCTTACAGCCGTCAGGAAAGTCTGTAAGTTAGGTATATGTTGTGGTGTTAAATGTAATTTGCCTTACATGCTTTCACAGAATCGAGCTAGAGTGCTGGGCTTCTCCTGGTTGCGCCGCTGTCTGAACCAGCGCTGGATGGTCCGCACATCCCAGTCGAGCTGCTTGGACAGGCCTTCAAGCCTCTTCTCATCTGGGTGCTGGAAAGACAAAAATAACCACTCAGTGTGTTAGATGTAGCTTTCATTGTAGTACAAATTACAAAGGCATGACAAGACATAAACAAGAACGAGGAGGAACACATGCACCACCTTGGTTATAGCAGTGAAAACCTTCTCGAGGATAGCGTTGGGTTGTGCTTTTTGTGGCCCGTTGGCTTGGATCTTCAGGCCCATCGCACATGGTCTTGCAATAAACCTGCAGGTAAAAGATCGGGACACCATTCTGTGATCAACATCAAAACAGAGACAGTATCATTGAGATGAATTATAGGTACATTAGTCACATTTAGGGATGGGGACACGAGGCATTCATCTGGAGTCACATGCATAGCCATAAACTCTTTGCTTGTGGTGAGTAACAGTTATCTAGACACGTGCATCTGTGCATCTGAGTTATCAAATGGGTATTTAATAAGATATGGATACATTCATGATATATACAGCACCACATGGATTCAACACCTATGGGTCAATATGAAATTCACTTTTTTAACATGCTGCATTTTCAGGGATAAATTCTGAAGGGTTTAATGGAGAAATTTAAGGCCTCAGTCACTAAATGCCCTAAAGAGACTCCTGACCCACATATGCATGAGGAGCATAGCTGTGACTATCATGTCTCTGTGCCTTACTGTATATTGCTGATTGTACAATAATATTCAGAGATATTGTGATGCAACATGCACCCATCACAACTGGGGCAGTTAAGAAAAAAAAAAAAAATCAGCCTGTTCTCAGCCTCGTGCTTTACTGAAATCTGGGTTTGGGCTGAGAGGGCAGTAGCTGGGTTTGGGCAGGTAGGGTAACTTGGCTGCACTGTGTGTGCACTGACAGATGAATCAAATACAGACAGCTCGTAATGCTGCGGGCCTGCCGAAAGAAGGATGATCAACCCTGGTGATTTGTGGGCTAACCGGATAAGATGCCATTGTTTAGGTAACAGACTGACGAACATGGACAGAGGGCTGTGCTGCATCATCCACCCGGAACATTTCATCGACATAACAACAAACCGTTTCGCGGCCACCTGGATTAATGGCATGTGCTTTAGACCCACCTTTCGAAAACCAGTCGTATCATAAAGATGCAGAATGCTAAAGGACACGCCAGATAGAGGTCCTCGGCTTGCGGGAACGTAGCCTCATCTGTGTTTTTTAAGTCAGCCCAGGTTACATTATGGGGGAGCCAGAACCTCTCGTTCCAAAACCACGCCAAAATACCGGCCATTTCACCCTGCAGCAGACACTGTGACCGGGTCGAAAGAGAAATCGATGGCCCGCTGTATCTCGGAGGTCTCTCACAGGCGATCTGACCGCGCGGACTCGGCTGATGATGAGATATCCGTGTGAGATCGCCGTCCGTCCGCTTCCCCTCAGCTATTCCACTGTAGGGAAGTAGACTCAATCAGCTCCTCCGCAACTGATTGGTGCGTTGAAATGTCATGCAGTACAGTCGGTGTACGCTATGCCGGCTACACCACGGTGTAATCAAGGTAAACCACTTTTTGCGTCAGCCCCTTTAGAGTAACACTCGACCTGACAGTGGAAGTAGGTTCCCTTGTGAACTGACCGTGGAAGAAGATGTTTTATTTAAAGCGTTTGTTTTTATATGACTGCTGCTGACATATTACGGCAGGAATAAGACAATAAATTGCTCAAGATCTGATGTGTCTACTTTAAGGATTTATTACAGCCAAACTCGAACTGATCGTTAATCAATATTAGTAAAACAGGGAAATGTAAGCGCAAATAATAAAGCAACAATGTAGGAATGGGCTTCATGACTACGCCATGCTTGGTAAACTGTGCCACCTACTGACAGGTTTGATGTAGTACTCAGTAGATGTGAATCTGACCTTGTAACACTTCATGAATTAAAAGTGGTCACTGCCCCATGTGATGTGACCTATTATCTTTTCTTTTCTTTTCTTTTTTTTTTTTTAAGTTAAAGAAACACAAAGCGTCCGTCTATAGCCTTTATGTAAATAGGCAGGGGGACCCTATATATTACATAGAGTTTGGATGGTGCTCCTGAATAGCATTGCATTACTCTGCAAATTGTTTGTAATATTTTGTCCAATGCATTTATATCACTGAAATATTAGAAACACCTCTTATTATAAAGCGATGCAATTAAACAGAACCACAAATTGACATTTAAGTTAAAGCAAAACACCTTTAAAACAATTTGTACAGAAACTGGATATAAAAAAGCAGAATACATAAGAAAGGTATTGTATATGCTATGTGAGTAGTGTACTACAAAATACTGAGTATATGTTACTGAGTTTTATGAAAGATAGACCAGACTATTATGCTATAGAATCCACAAATAGACCCTTACATAATCTGTAGCATAATAGTGGACACACATTATATAAGTAAAATCTAACAAATAGGGAAGAAGCTGTAATTATTTTCATTATTGATTAATCTGCAAATTATTCTCTCTATTGATTGTTTTCTCTATAAAATATCCCACAGGTGAGGATGTCATTTTTGCATTACTTTTTTTTGTACCAACAGTCCACAAACCAAAGATATTCAAATTGCTGTCACATAAAACAAAGTAAAGCATAAAATATTTACATTTGAGAAGCTGCAGACAGATGGCATGTTTGGCAATGACTAACTGATCGTTTCATCTCTGATGTATGTTCACTTCTCCAATGTGGTGTTAACTCTGTCCTCCAGTCATCAGACAACAGACTATATAAAGATGTGATGGCGCCATCTACTGGCCAGTCTTCACAACATCAACTGCAGTTCTAGCTGCATGTGACACGTTAAATCGTCACCTATCCGTGTCACTGTTTCATACAAAGCAGCTGCCAAGTCATTTCACCTGATAATAATAAATCATCTTGCACACAGTATTTTAAAATAGTTGCATTGTTACGATAAACTGAAAAACATGATTAATTAATGACCTGAACTGAAGCCTCTAGAGCCGCCTGGCAGTTCTCTGAGATGATTACTAGTGAGGTTAATGAATGTCTTCCTGTTACTATTGAACTAGAGTATATTGTATAGTCAACTTGCATGTCACTGCTGTGGTGTGTGTATGTATGTATGTGTGTGTGTGTCTGTGTGCGCGCATGTGTGTGGTCCGTTATTTTCCGGGTTGTGCTCATCGCTAGCGGTAGTTGCGCTGCTGCAGCTGCCAGCTGACACTTGTACCGAGGAGGTGAGGTCAAATTTGACTTTCTCTCTCTCTCTCTCTCTCTCTCTCTCTCCCTCTCTGAGTCTCTCTTTCTCTCCCTCCCTCTCTCCCTTTCTCTCTTTCTCTCTGTTTGTATCTGTGAGGCTGCTAACTAGCGCATCATCATCATCATCATGGCGGATCAAGGCGAATCTCCGGCTCCTGTCCACCACCCGCAACCGGCGCTGACAACCAGCTGGCCAATTACCAGGGAGTCGTACGAGCTGCAGGAAGTCATAGGTTAGTACCCGGAGCTGTGATGGACGCTGTGTGTGATCATGGGAAGGCATGCCGCGGCGGGTTATCAGCTGGCAATGACGACGAGGGCCTACCGGCTTTTTCGTGTGCAGTAGTCTCCTGCAATGCTTTGCAATGCGGATGTTAACAGGGACATTTAGAGACTACCGGTCTACGGCAGATGTGTCTGTGATTCAGACGAAGCTGAGGCAGCCTAAATGCAGGTTGCTGCTCGGGCTGAAAATGTCACATTTCCTAAGTGCGTTTTCAGCGGCTCGGATAATAGAGACCTACTCCAGCGATGCCAGTTTATGGCACGTGTCCAGTTAATCAGACATGACTAAAATCACAGATGCTGTGGCTGTGTAAAGACCACAATGTGTTCTGTTCGTTGAGTTGTCTGTGATGGCACTTCACATTTTTTTTTAGGTGAACAATGTTACAAACATCATGTACTTACCACGATGACCATACAACTATTATTCATATTAATGATGATAATTAGAATAATGGTTAATAGTAGGCCTCATACAATCGTAGAATCATTGAACATACCCTAAATAAAAAAGTGAGAGACTTGCTTTCCACTAGGACAGCAACTAATCATTATTTTCATTATTGATTAATCTATTAATCTTTTTGTTTTAGTAATCATTAAGCAATCATTTAGTTAGCCCAACTGCAAGAAAAACTGAGATGATGTCTTAAAATTGACCCATTATTAAAGCAATTGCCAAATTAGTTGATGATACATTTTCTGTAAAACAGCTGATTGATTAATTAACAAATTGTTTCAACACTAACTTCCACAATAGCCACTGGTCAAAGGCAGTGAACTTAGACATGCTCACTCACTTGTTAAGCATTGTTTACTGTCAGTGTGTTCATGTTCTCATTAGGATTAACCCTTTGTGAATGTGTGTTCTTCCACTGTTACTATGCCGATTGGGACTATGCTTGTTGTGGTTTTATGGAATAATTCTTTCATTCCCAAGGACATCTAAAAACTTACAACTTTCCCATCATTTGAAAAGTTATATTTATCTGCATAAGTCACAAAATACTCAATTTAGTGTTGTCATGAATCATTATAATTTAAAAATATGAATTAGTCAATAAAACAGCAATGGAAATCTCACGTGTACTGAAAGTCACAAAAGGAAGTTGCCCGAATATTTTTGGCAAACGCCTGTACTGTGCAGATGAGCTGATAAGTCATATCATTGCTGATAAGAGGTAGGCACCACAGCTGTGTGCTGCTGACTGCGATGAGTGAGTGAGACCCCCTCTCTGTTCTCATAAACAACTGGTAAGCAGTCTGATCACATGTATTCCCTGCTCCTTATCTGCCGCTAACAGTTGGTGAGCAATATGTTGTGTGTCACAGCTTCTTGGTGTGAACAACTTCACTACTCCGGCGTGAAGCCTGATTTGTAATGAAGCAAGTCAACAACCCATCATGTTGGGGGGAAAACAAACAAAAACGTTGCACTTCAAGTCATCGTATGTCATAGTGTTTGTCTAATGTTTCATCCAGCACACATGAAGGATGAATACCATAACATAAACACAAAAAACACTTGGCCATAAAACCAACAGACTGATGTTTAATTTAAAAGTTGTCTTCCAGCTGTGTGTCCCGTCTTTGCTCCTGTCTACTTTGTCATTGCTCTGTTGTGGCTGTGATTCCAGGCAGCGGGGCCACAGCTGTGGTGCAGGCAGCCCTCTGTACCCCCAGACAGGAGCGTGTGGCCATAAAGAGAATCAACCTGGAAAAATGCCAGACCAGCATGGATGAGCTGCTGGTGAGTACAATAAATACGGGCTAATTTCTCAGCATGTGTCCACAGTGTTTTTGTACCTCTTCCTCATGCCTTACTACTACTACTACTACTACTACTTTACCTCTAATCCATGTTATCATTGATATCTTTAATCTGAGAATTGAATGTTTATTAATGCACTTTGTGGTTTGTAATATTGGATCATTTGCTGCACAAGCTTGTTGTTACTGAGGTGTATATAAATACACTGACTTTCCTGATGTTTCCTGTTGAAACAAAAGTTATGATTAAAAGTGAAATGTCCTGTCATTTCTCTCTCACAATAGAAAGAAATTCAGGCAATGAGCCAGTGCAGCCATCCCAATGTTGTCACCTACTACACCTCGTTTGTCGTGAAGGATGAACTTTGGTTAGTCATGAAGCTTCTGAGTGGAGGTAAGCTTCACCTTCCAAGCTGCATGGAACTAAATCCTACCTCTATCTTAATAATGCATGAACGCTCAGTCAGTGTGATGATGATACACTGTAAATGCCCTATTTCATGTTTGTGCTTTGATCTGCTGATAAGGTTAACACCTACCTTGTTTATAACTCACTTATACTGTAGTTATCTCAAATGAAAAAATAGCACAGTCATACATAACATACTGCATAAAACAAACAAACAGAGCAAAATTTTATGAGCATTTCAGCCACTACTTTCCATTATGTATCCTAGAAAACATCAGATCTAAACCCTTAAAAAGCACAGTATTTAATCTGGCTTTATTTATTCTTTATTATTTCTTACAATTATATGAAAGCGCTAGCACACTCTTGGTTGCCTCCCATGGTAATTAACATCTGTAGTCTGATGATGTTCCTTTTGCTTTACTTATGACTCTCACTTGTGAAGAAAATGCAGCAATATTGTTACTGTATTGAACTGCCTGTCATGATTTACTGTTTAAGGGACAACAAACAATTATCAGACGCTGAAATAAATTGTGCCTGGTTGTAGATACTGATCATGTAATAACTCAGTGGAACACTGCGCAGCTGATTTGTATTGTGCCTTTAAAACATACAAAATGAACACAGTGTTCCTGTTTTTCTGTGGTGTATTTTTCAGGCTCTATGCTGGATATAATTAAGCACACAAGCAAAGATGAGGACAAAAATCGATCTCTAGATGAGCCTATCATTGCTACTATATTAAAAGAAGTGCTAGAGGGCCTGGACTATCTGCACAGAAATGGACAGATTCACAGGTAACACGTCAGAAATTTGCTGTTGCGGTTTTATTTTTTGATAAGTTATTATAAGAATTTAGAAACTCATTGTAAGAGAATATAGTCACTCCATTGTAAGGGGCTCTCTGGATGAGATAAACAAATGGCTTAAAAAGCTTATTTACAAAAAGAAATTAAAACCATTCATGTAATTGTATTTATTGACCTGCAGGTCAGTTGTTGTGTTCTGTAAACTTCCTGGATTTCAAGGTCACTGAGAGCTGGCCCCTTGGGCAGAGATCCAGATGGTGGTGGGCCGTGGGACGGGTTCACGCGAACGGAAGAATCAATGCTGCTCCATATGACTTTGATGTGTGACTGTGTTTGTGTTTTGTTGACCTCAGGGATGTGAAAGCTGGGAACATACTACTGGGAGAGGATGGATCTGTTCAGATTGCAGGTGTGGTGAACATAGTACTACAATTGTATTGCTACAGTCTCTTAAGTCGTCCTTTAGTTTAAAACTAAAAGCACGCACATATGCTGAAACTGTGGCTTTGAATCCATAGATTGTATTAATCAAAGATGAATGGCAATGCATTTTTTCTGTCATAAATCAAGCAGCTCTGACATTAGACGGATAATACGTCCTGAATAATTCCATATCTGCTTATGCAGTCCGTATATTGAAACTGGCAGCTTTGTGCAGCAGTAGTTTCATGGTAGGGATTACATACTGCCTTTAAGAATTGATAATAAATTCACTCACAGGACAGAACAAATTATGGATGCAAGCCTGTAAAGAAAATTTAAAATTCATATTTGCAGGTTTTACAGCCACTTGATTTCTGTGCTTGTACCATGGTATCTGATATCTGATATCTGATATCTGATAGGCCTTTTTCACAGAAGCCATTTTGACATGTCACAGTAGGAAAATCAGATGATTGTACCGACTTGGAAGGGTTTATTGACTAGTGAAACCAGATACAAACAGATAAAGTGTTACCCCTTTTATCAATTAATCAATTAGTTGAATTGATTGTATTGTGTGTGAATACTAGATTTTATTTGGGTGTAACTGCCATTGATTGTGGCTTTTGTAGCCATTAATAGTCGGTTTATCGACACTTACAGTGGCTCTTTTCATCAGATGGGAGATACTGTCCCTGTCAGAATCTCCTGGTATCTTCAACTCAGAGTTTTTCTGACTTGGCTGCTCGTGGCTACAGTCTGAACTGTATGACATGAACGCAGCATCACTGTATCACTGTTATAGCTTACTGGGACTTAATGTAATTAGTAACACTGCCTATGCTTTTGCTACTTTAACAAGTGGAATTTTTTACCGTGAAAAAAGGTTAGAGTATATCATCTAACTCAAAGAGAAAGGTTCGTAAATTCTAAATAGTATACAAACATACTGATATTTCTGACAAATATTTTTGGTTTTGCATTTATGCCGTGACTATTTACACTAACATTTTGTTGAATGTACAGTTTTGACCAATAGTTATCAATGACCTGCAAATCAAAGAAGCAGAGATGCTTTACTCACATTAGGAGAGATCAATAGAAACTAGCCTCTGATTGCTAAAATTTAAATTCTTTCATTTGCTTTCTGTTGTACAATATTTACCTCCACCCTGCAGTTCTTCCTTTGTCACCAAGTTGTTTTAACCCAGAATGTGAGAATATGGAAAAAGTCCCGCCTGTAGACGGATTCATTACAACATACGTCAACCAGTATTTCTTCAGATTGTTAATAGGTTTTAACCGTGCATTAATTATTATTGTCTTTAAGATTTTGGAGTAAGCGCATTCCTGGCTACAGGCGGGGATATGACAAGAAACAAAGTACGAAAGACCTTTGTTGGCACACCATGCTGGATGGCACCGGAGGTGATGGAACAGGTTAGTCTGTCTCTGTCCATACAAAGCTAGCTGTTGGTGACATTGTAAACTCTTTACATTGTATCTTGTATCAGTTGTATTTGCTTGACTTTGTGAGTTTACTTCTAACGCGCTTATGCGTTACATAATGTGATTCTATCATTAGTTAATTTGATAATAAATCATATAATCAATAATTTTGTATTTTTGTGACGCTCTTAGATCATGACATTAACATAAAGTCTCCCGGACTTAAGTGTATTCTTTTACAGATTATTGTAATTCTGTATTCACAGGTACGAGGCTATGATTTCAAAGCAGATATATGGAGTTTTGGAATTACAGCCATAGAGTTAGCAACAGGCTCTGCACCCTATCACCGCTACCCTCCCATGAAGGTGAGTGCTCTGCATGTGTTATTGGGTGTCATTTAATCAGTCTGATGTCCTAATCACAGTCATACTTGTAGCTGGCACTGGAAAAGACAAGAATAAAGCAGTGTCCATTAATGTCTTGGCTTACCAACCTTTCTCCTAAAGTTTGTTTCAGTGAAGTTTCATCATTAGCAAGAAAAAACATGAAGAGACATTTTGACTTTCTGCTTTTTGGGAAACCAAACAACTAATAAAGAGAAAAAAAACCCTTAAATCTAAAGGAACTTGTTGTTTTTAGTTTCCACAGCATTTCTGCTAGAGTTTCCTGCTTTGAGTTTCTTTTCCTCATCTACAGTATTTCTGTTTTGTGGGCGGTTCTGACCATTTTTCCTGTCCTTCCAGGTTTTAATGCTTACCCTACAGAACGATCCACCCACTCTAGAGACGGGTGTGGAGGACAAGGAAATGCTAAAAAAATACGGCAAATCATTTAGAAAGCTAATAACTATGTGCCTTCAGAAGGATCCTGCCAAAAGGTTAGCTCCACTTTCCATATATCAACCAAATATTTCAGTGAGGAGAGATGATGCAATTTGTGATCAATAAAAAGACCTGATTAACATTCAGTGAGTGCTGTGCTGAGATGTATTTTCCAACAAAGTGTACTTTTCTTTATCTCTAGGCCGACAGCCGCAGAGCTTTTGAAGTGTAAATTCTTCCAGAAGGCCAAGGTATTTGTTACAACTCAAATATTTGACTCATCCTCTTTGTTTGCTTTTGTTATTAATGCTTTGCTTATGTTATTCCCTGTATCTCAATGCTTTCTTATTTGTTTATTATGGTTATATGTACTTGGATACATCAAACAAAATGTCTAATTCAATTTTCTGTCCTTGTTAATTCCTCCGTAACACAGTGACTGCGAGTCTCACATTTTATAGTCAAATGCATTGTATTTTCAATAATTTAACATAATGATTATTTAAAATGATGTCCTAAATGTTCTGGTTCAGAGGTAGGAAAAGCTGTTAAACAGCTGCTCTGAGTATCTGCAATGCAAAATAGAGTAGTTATTTGTATCATCATTTGTATCATGTAAATTTGATGAATGTTATTCAGGAGGAACAAGTATAAGAACCTCACCGTATTGTTTCCATTCAAGCTGGTTTAGTCACCGGTCTAACCTCTAACATTTTAAGAAGATAACTTAACCTTTACAACTTTCATTCACCTTCTGTGCTTCATCAACAAAGCTGATTTCTGTGGGCTGCCATTTAAAAACACAACACTTGAGCTCTTTGTGACTCATTAGCAGGTTTTTATTAATTTACTCAGTTCACTGTTTTATTGATGATGTTTTGATTCATAGTTTGATTTGTCTCTTGCAGAACAAAGAATATCTGGTTGAGAAGCTTTTGTGTCGTGCACCAAAGATTTCCCAGAGAGCTAAGAAGGTATGTTTATACAAACATTCCCTGTAAAATAACTCTGTTATTGACTAAACATTAACAAATTATGGCAGAGGGCTGGGATTGACTGAAATATCTCTGTCCACCAGAGTGTTGCATTTACAGTCAACACAAGCTACGCACTCTGACTTTCTTCAGCACCTCAAACACATCATGCCCAAACTGTTGTGCATATTATTTGAAAATATGGGCCACTGCAGAGTCAAATAGTGTAGATGTCCTGATGTCTTGTGTCTGTGGCCTCCAGTGCAGCGCTCTGCATGTGGCCCACTAAAGACAAACAGGATTAAATGAATTGTTAACATTAGGTAACAGAAAGGAGCACATTATTGTTCACTGTGCTTGCTCAGTTGTCCACAGTTTATTAGGAGGAAGTGCGGTTTTCAGGCACAGCTGATATTGGCTTCACATAACACTTCGCCTGGATGGCCAGGACAGAAATGGGAACAGAGGGCTATTGCCGAAAGGCAGAGTGGCTGAGTGGAGGGGTGGAAATTCACTGACATGGTCGGGAGTAAATGGAGGGCATAGTGGAGAGCAGGGCTGTTACTGTGTATGACGTTAACATTACGCACAGACAGGGCAGGGTGTCAATAAAGAGGGAGCCAACTATGGTGGAGTAGCGTGATTTTATTGAGGTTTGTTGATGGTTAATGTGGTAACTATAGTAGTCATAGCTATGAATGGTACCTATTGCTAAACAGGATTTCCTATATTAAGTTTTGTCAGTACAGGTCAAAACACAAATCATGTGAGACTGGATCTAAAATGAGCTACAGCATTTATGATTTGCACGGCAAGATGTTTTGCCGAATGATATATATTAAAGCAAATGATCGCAATTTGTGTAGTGCACTTTTATAGATGAGTCATTTGTTGTGTTTTTATGTGTACAGTCCTGTTAAAAGTGTAAAATTAGACTGCATACAGAGTATATACAGTCTGCTTCACTTGATACTTTCAGTGCATGAAATGCATGAGCCGCAGAGCCAGTGTCCTTGGTCTTTTTTTGCTGATTTGACCCACAGAGTCGTCTACATTATACACTCAGCAAACATTACCCAAAGCTTGCAGAGACAAGCAATACTGCAGAAACACTGTCATCTCAGGATGCTGTGACCCCGTTTATAGGAGTACCACAGTGGCCTTGCTCTTCCAAGATTTTCCTCAGGTATGCTCAAACCTTCTAGCTTAGCTCCTCTTTAATCACAACCACCCTACATCTCTTGGCCTCTGTGAACTGAATAGTGTGAATAGCTTTCCTCTGCCCTTTTGCTCCTCTGTTCCTTGGTGTTCTTGTTCTGTTTCTGTAGTGTTTTTTTTTTTTTCCTTTCTATGGTCATGGTAAACACATGCAATTCATCTCCCCGGAAACAAGCACTATGGGGGTTTAAGAGATGAGACTTTAAGCCGAACAGCCGGTATAAAACTTTACTCTTTAAATTGGCTTTAAAGGGACTTAACTTCACCTTGATAATGCTCCAGTGCATGAAAAGGAGATGGCAGAGGCTCTGGTCAGCTGTCACCAAAAAAGTTATTTGAAATATGAATCTAAAAAAAGATTACATGCAGAGTCATTCTGTATAAACAGTTGGTACATGTGAGTTGAGTAGCCAGCAGAGGGCACCGTGACACCCACAGTAGAGCTTCTGGATGAGAAAATTGGAGGCTTTTTTTGTTGAAAGATTAGACATTAGTGGTTTACAGCCAAGGTGATGGGCTAGTCTCATTGATTTGTTACATAATGAAAAGTGGGAAAGTAGAATGGGATTGATATTGAGTTCAAACATATGGTCCACTGCACAAGTGATGATAGGATGCTGATTGGAGTTCTGCATGGATGTTTTCTGAAGCCCGATTTCAAGATGCAGTACATTTTACCTGAATGTGCAGCAATTTTAACCTTGCAATCACTGATTTTACATCCGTATATTATGATGATTCTGTTCGCATATATTTCTGTATATTTGCATTGGGTGGTATTGTCAGCTGCATGATTTGTGCATCCTGTATTGGCGTCTTTGTATGTGTGTGAATGTTAGTCGGGTGATCGTGTATGGCTGCAGAGTGCATTGATCTGTATCTGTTTTGCCCAAGGACCCTGAACAGAAGTGGGGGAGCCTTGGTTCTATGTCAGGTTTGGAAAATAAACCTGACACCACCAGAAGGGTAGTGCTTCTTTAACTTTGACCTTGTCTATAGTTGAGGAGAAGGATGGTGGTAGTGGCTTACAGTTTTGTGTGCTGTCTGTTCTGTAACACTGTGGCGCTCTTATACCTTATCTCACACTGCTAGACTAGTCATGTGTTGCTTGTCTTACATGCTCTTCCAGGATGTAGAAGTGCAACAAATTACAGGCTCTACCAATGACTCTGCCATACTTATCTGCTTTTTATGCTGGTTACATTTGCAGTCATATTACTACTGGTGTTTAACCAGGTTTAAATTGTATTGGATATCCCTCTTATGTTGGCTTTCCATATGATTTACAGTGTTTTCCCTTGTTCCGTGCTGTACTCATTGTGCTGTAACCAGGCTGTGCCTGCTAAATGGATTGTATTACTTTGAGCAACCTTAAGGTTTCTATTGGAGCTCTGAGCTGTTTTGTAAGACAGTGTACTATATATAACAAAAGCTGTCATATCAGCAGACAAATTTCCAACCTCCAAAGTTTTATTTGTCCAATGTTTTGTCCGCCAAGGTCTTAATCAGTGATGAAAGATTTTTGTGTAAATGTGTGTGTATGCTGGTTTTTGCTGGTTAAAATCAAACATTAACTAATATAATTCTATTCTATCCAATTCTATTCTAGTCTCTTTTTAAGCAAAAACTTACTCTTAAGTGAATCATTATAATGTGAAAAATTTCTTGTTGTATCATGAAAAGGATCTCATTGTGGCAGCAATGAGCTGCTGTACCACATATATTCAACTGGCTGAGTGACTTGGCTTTATACTTGTTATATATTTATATATTTGTTTATGTGCTTTTCAATTCAACCAACGCATGTCAGCTCATCACAAGGAGTGATCTTAAGAGTTGTAAAACCTAATGGATTCATGAGTAGAGCTCAATGCACCGACATGTACAGTTGAAAAACTATGCATGATGTCATTAATGTTTAGTGTGCTGGCTGTGTGTTGTCGTGGTCCAGGTGAGGAGGGTCCCAGGCTCCAGCGGTCACCTGCACAAGACAGAGGATGGAGACTGGGAGTGGAGCGATGATGAGCTGGATGAGGGCAGCGAGGAAGGCAAGGCGGCGGTGAATCAGGGCAGGGTAGGTGAGACCCCACAAAGACCTGCCTCAGCAGGGTGCATCCTTTCATATTTACTCTTTCTTTTCATCTTAAAATGCGTATGTGTGTATCAGGAGCAAGTTCTGTAAAGAATGTTCAAGATTATCTTTTAGATTAAGCCTCACTTGTCACTGTAATAAAATCACTACTTGATTATGGAAATTCAGAATTTACCAGTTATTGAGGTGTTTGTTGTTATTGTTGCATGTCATGTCTAAGCTCTAAATCAAACTGTTGTGTAACTTCCCCTCCGTCTTTGACCCTGTACATCCCTCCCCTCCCTGATCAGTTAGCTTTTTGGATAGCAGATGGCTTATCTCTGAGAGAGAGCCTGTCATGAGGTCGCTTTAATGAGCTGGAAGATAGCTGCAAGGATTTGAGACAGGAGGAAGTAGACAGCTATGATCAAAGGGCTCTTTGATAAAGATACCCCGCTTTAATGTATGATGCAATAAATAATATGTTACCAAGAGTAATGATTTAAAGAAATAAGTTGTTTCTGCTAGTATTCTTACTAGGTTGTATTTTTAATTTCCTGCCAATGATTTCAGAAATTGAAAAGAGGAAATAAATCATTATTATTGCGGTGTGATTATGAATATGAAAATGTAAATGTGTGTTTGATTTTTCCCTCCAGTCACGAAGGGTCAAAGATGAGGCCAAAGATGTAAGTTAGTTCTTCCTCTCGTACACTTACTCTAGCATGCAATTAAAATAATAAATATTTTCTAGTATTTGGGTGAAGAGACGAGTTGTCATAGACACACAGACTTCATCCTTTTTCTGCTGCTGTACAATTTGATAACTTGGCAGAGGGGCATTTTTGGAATTGCAATTAACTGGCCTACTCGGGCCGAGGCTTGTGTAAGAATCATGAACTCAATTATGAATGTTTATTTCACCGCACTCGTTTTTATGCAGTTTGATCGAAACAGCCAAGCACCTGTTTTAAAACTGTCTGACGCAGCCACCAAATTTCTCTTCAGTGATTCTTGTGAATTGACTTTCCTGTGTTGTCTTTATAAGATGAGCTCTTTGATATTTACCAAGGATGTAAAAGCATTTGTGCAATTATGCCTCTCATTTTGTTCCTCCTAGAATGAGGAGAATGCCAACAATGTTCCTATTGAAGGGTTGTCTATTCAGCATCCCGAGGTGAGGGATTCAGCAGCAGCACTAATTTGTCACGATTCAGTGACCTTGATGCCACGCTGATTGTCTGTGTGTTTGTGTACGTCTATGCATGTGCATACTGTACACGTGTGTGTGTGTCCGTCTCATGCGTGTGCCGGTGGGAGGGTGTGTGTGTGTCTGTCTGTATGTTGGTTCTCCAGGAGGGATGCTCTCAGCAGTAATAACTCAGAGTAAATGGCTGTCTGCCTGACAATGCCAGCTCATAGCCTGGGTGTATCTCATCTAAAGACTCTCTGCCATTGTAACCCATTTTCTAAGGCTATTGTCATTTGGAAAATGAGCCAAAGCAGTTTGAGGTGTAGTCTTGTGCTCCTGTCGGGAATTAAGTCTGACAGCTACTCAGCAGTCATTTCTTACCCCCGAAATCCATTTCTTGCTGTAGAAAAAGCCCATTTGTAATATGGTATTGATAATGTTGATAGATTCTTTCACAATATACCTTAATGTGTTGCTCCTTTTCTTCTTCCCTTACAACTTTTCCTGCAGCTGCAATAAATTGGAGACATTTTTCAGAAAAAAATAAGCCACGTGGGCGAGTGTGTGGTCACTCCATGTACTGTTGTTAAATCTATTTGTGCACGATGAAAACTGCCTCACCATCAGATGTTTTTGTTTTTTTTATTTTCATGCAGGTTGAACCATATGTGGATACACCATACATTCAAGGTGCTGTGAACATGGTACTACGGCTAAGGTGAGACTGATGTTTTCAGATAATGCCCTCCCATCATATGCTGGCACACCAGGCAATCTTAAGAAGAAGGCAGCACGGGGGTCAAAAAAGCAGTTTAGAGATCTCTCTGTTTCCCTGGAATAAAAGCAGAAATTCAGAGCAGATTTACAGAGCGCGGCTACATTTTCTGGATTCATCGTCACTTTGCTTTGTGCTTAACATGCAGGCTACTCGTAGACATGATGATCTATCTCTGTCTGCTGCAGAGGGGATCTGGCATTGCCATGGATCCCCTCGTTCGTGTCGTAGGGAGAAGAGTGTTGCGCTCCATCGGGTCTCTGGCTGTGCTCCACAAACTGCTTCTCTCCCTCAGACTGTTTGCACTTGTGGCACCCCTGCCTCTCGCTGTGTTGTTCCCGACAATGCTGTTTACGAGCACATTGTCATGACAAAGTGGAGGCTCGTGATTCAGCCTCAGAATGACCTCATAGATACTTCCTGTTAGAAAACAGCTAAATTAGCGATACAATCAGGGAATGCACAGCACATGTTCAGCGCTCAGGTACGCTATTTGTATATGGTTCACTTTCTCTCACTGTTACTCAGCATGCAAACACACAGGAAGAAGCGCGGGGGGTGCATTTAAAGTGATGCAGCAACAAACAGACAATGGTGCGTATTTGGACAGTTGAAAGTCTGCCCGTAACTCCCCGATGAGCTGGTTGCAGAGCACATTCTTGGTTGAACAGGCATCTGAAGGTCCCTCCCCAGGCGTCCAGCATAGAAAGCCATTTTAGTCTGTGCTTACTAACAAAGCAGTGGTCTGGACACAACAGGAGGCGGCTAACTGTTTCGTGGCCGGTGAAGAATCATTATTCTAACCTGGCAGTGAAAATAAAAAGAAAGAGAGAGAGAGAGAGCTTTGACAGTTTGGGCTTTTTTTTTCTTCTGTTCTTCAGTTTCACAATTCACACATGGGTTTAGTGATGTTTGATCAGTCTGTGGATTTTCTAGCTCCGACTCGACAAACAGATTAAATATGGTTATCAGTTGTACAGTTACAACATATGTAGGCTTAGATGGGAAAAAAAAAAATAAAATAAAAAAGGTTATCCTGGTATCTTCAGAACAAGCTTGTGAAAATGTGTCAAAGCAGAGTCAGTACAAGAATTCATTTCCTTCACAGAGAAATGTATTGACTGTGTTTGATGTGGCTGCTGCATTAGGCTGTCAGGTCATCTCTCTCTGGTTTGTCAGCTAGAATATTCAGTATTAGAGATAGAGACATATGATGGATGCCTTCTTAGATGTAAATCCAAAAGCTTAACGGCATTTTTTTTTCCACAGAAATCTAGAGATTTAAATGCCCTGGTGGATTACCAAGACCTTTCACTATACCCTCTTCTTTGACGTGCTCCTCAGTCTTGCGTGGGGGATGTGTTGACGACAGGATTTTTGTATTTTGTTTTATATTTCCTGAACTATAAAAGACATACTTGACAGAACACTCACATTTTATTTGATGTAGCAGCAAGATATGAGAAACCCTTTGAAAGGATGAAAAACATCAAGCCCCTCTTTGTGTACAGTTTATCCTTCAAATGCTCCATAATAAGCCAAATCTCTCTCCATCTGAACAGCTGGTGTTGCGCTGACTTAGAACAGCATTTTGCTTTATTTTGAATTGGAATTTTTGGGATGAGAAGCAAGCAAACTGATTCTGAGCAATTTATTCCTTAGGAAATGTTTCATTTAGAGAAAATTGACTTTTTTGTGTTGAGAAGGATTTGGCTGGTATGTTTTAAAGTGAATCAGCACAGAGGGTATTATAAGATGAGAGACTGCATTCATATTTTGGGATTTTCTTTGGCTGTGTTCCTATGTTTTGGGGGCAGAACAAGAGATATTTATGGTCCTCACAAATAGTATGAGACCTGCATAAGAAGCAGTGCATTTAAGCAGGGTGATTAAAGGAAGGATTTATCTGGAATATTAATGTGAAGTAGATGTTAGGTAAATTTGTGGCGATTTTTGTTTGTTTAAAGAGAATTTTTTTTAGATAGGCATCTATAATGGAATTCACAGTGAGGTTTTCGTACTTTATATAACTAACAACTCCAAGTCAGTAATAATGAGAATCGTTCTTAGTTAGAAACCACTCAAAGCAATTGTGAGTAAAGAAATTCTGTGGTCAAATCAATCTGACCACTGCTCTGCCATTTGGAAACTGGCTGGCTAAAATGAATAATCAAGTAGTTTCTCGTTATTCCTCATTGTCAAGAAATGTACTAAAAAATATCCCTGGATCTTATTGTCAGTTGTCAGGTCCAATATTATACCAACGCATGGATATGACGGCCAAATACACAACATTGCAAAACAATTTGACAATTTGTAAAAGTTTTGAAATAATAATAGTAAAATAATAATCCATGAGTGTCATGCATTTGAGAGAACAAAATAAACAGCTAATTGGTCTCCTCTCTCAACTAATAAATGAGTTACAGCTGATTAGCATGAGTTTATGGTAATACGATCCCCTCGGTGGCAGTGACGGGGGAAAAGCAGCAGCATGATTGGATTTATGTCAACATTTTGTTTGGAACTTGTTCAATCTTTTTTTTTTTTTTTCCCTTTCATTTATTTTACAAAGGCAGGACTCCTGAGAAAGGCATTGTCAGCAGTTTAAAGAGGAAGTAAAGATTTGCATAATATACTTGGCTGTTGGTGCAATGTCATTGGAGCTTAAATTGCCAAAATAGCGCAAATGCAAATTGATTTCACTGAGCAGAGTCCAGAGGTGACATTTCTATGTGTTTTTTCAACTAGTCACGAGTCCGTCACCGGCTCGTCCCCCTTGGCTTATTATATCTTTTTAGGTTTTAGGCTTTTAGTTAGCTAGTTAGGACAAAAAAAGCAATGTCAGGATGTCACCTTGGGCTCCAGGAAACCGTTACACTTTTCCAAATTTCCTGACAGTTATGTACACATTTATGATTAAGTAATTCCTTATTTTACAGGCCCCTAATTAAAAAAAAATCCTCTAAGTTACCTTGAATGAAAAACTCAATTGAAACCCAAGCACACATTCATTGAGCAGTAATTTGATATTGTAAATATTGTAAACATTTAATATTGTATTGTTCGGGTAACCTGGTGTGCATCCCCTAAAAGAAGCTCGAGGGTACAATAGCAATAATTTAGAATCAGTTAATTAGTCTGCAGACTGAACACTATTACAATTTCCTTATAATTAATATCAAATAAGACCTTCCTAGTCCTTTCTGTGAAGCTTCTCGGAAATTATTCAGAAAAAAAAAATCATTACCAGGAAGGTTTAATTGTAACATTTTCAAAAATGGTTCCATTTTCTATTTTCACTGTATTATCATTACAGTACAGTTTACCGCCTGCCTGTGTGACATTAAATGTACAAAACACCTATGTAGTCTCAACACATTTTTCTTACTTACTGTCAGTAACCACTGTGACAGCCAACAATACAGGGCTGTACTGACAAAAACACTGCAATCAATTACAATGGATTGCTCTGGAGATTGCTTTACCAATCTGTTATATTTGAAATGTTTATAAAGCTTCTCCCTGGAATCACCTGTCACAAACAGTCTGTCAAAATAATGTGTCATAAAGCTGCCATTGTCCAGTGGAATAATTCATCTCACGTCATCTCACACTCGCTAGTTAGCTCACAACATGTCAAAAACATATATGGTATTGGTGGGTGAAATGCAAATTGTAATGCTGTTGAGCTGTGAAAACATGAAATCTTCATAGCGGTATTTTAAATTGATAATATTATGATAATAATATTAACTCTCACACATCATGACAGCGTTCAGCCAATATATAAGGCTTATCCGACATGGTCCTGATGTAGTCTGTCAGAATGTTTTCTCACTACCCACCGTGGTTTATCCATGGAGGAGGCATAGTTTAGGCACATTTTATTTGGGCAGGGTTATGATCCTCTGACACATGTTGCCTCGAAATGCTTGGCAGTGTGTCCTCCCCTCTGCCTCCACTGCAGGGAATGGAGTTGTTGTTGATGTCCTCGCCAGATTTGTTACTGATTTTTTCAATTTATTTATTTATTTTCCCTTTTCAGCTGTAAATCTGAAAGTCAAGCTGAATCACACTTGTGGGCTGTCCGTGTTGTTTGTTTGAAGACCGCACCACCAGACCACAAACTAAACTAGAATGGCACACAGTAGAGCGCATACCTCTGCCAAGGCCAGGCAATCCTGCACATGTTGACGGAAAATGGTGAAAAATGCCCAGTCTCGCAATGTTATGGGAAGTGATAACAAAGGTTCCTGGATCCGCCCCCTTTAACCAGATTGGCCCCAAAATGTAACAAGTTCTTCCCTGGCCCCTGCCCTATCCCTTCACCAAGTTTCGTGCAAATCCCTTTGGCGTAATCCTGCAGACAAACAAACAAACAAACAAACAAACAAACAAATAAACAGACAGACATGGGTGACAACATAACCTCTTTGTCGGAGGCAATTAATCTTCTCCTACTGTAGTTGTTTTGGCGGCAGCACTGAAATGTTCCTTTACCAGCAACCAGCATTCATCTGTCACACACAAATATTAAAGACAGATTTGAAATGTACGTTATGCAAATGAATGCAGGTTGATTCCACAACGAGGCTCGAGGGCACATTTTATTAATGCTTTCAAATGAGCTGGATGTATACTTGCTTATTTTTTCACATTTCCCTGCAGTCTAAACAGGTACACACTGAATCTCAGGACGTCATTCAAACCATGTCTTCAAACAGACAAAATTCAATTCAATATAACGTCCATTACTTTTTTTATGGTAACAAAATATCTAATCATTGTTTTACTTGGGTAAAGGGGATTTACATTTTATTAAACAATGGATTGAAAAGATGGTTTTAGTCTTCTGTAGTAGTCTTCTGTCTGAAACTTTAGCTTTGGTTTAATCACACCACTTTCATTGTTTTCAGCGAAAAAAAAACAAACAGTAAAAAATCAATGTGCGCTGCCTCATCAGCATCGAGCTACAAAGTTAGCGAACAGCTGGTGAACGTAGTGCAGCATTTAGAAGCTAAAGAGCCAGATATTTCCTTCGGGAGATGGTGGAGAGCAAAACAGAGCTAAAAGGTGAGGGGAATATTAGACTTAATGTTTTTCAAGTGAACACAAATGCTACTTCAGCTGAATGCTAATGTTGCTGCCTGTGGAGTAAAGAAACTGCTGTTTGTTAACATGTTTGCTTTATCAACCTGAGGTGATGGTCCCAAGTGGTAAAAAAAAAAAAAATCAATGAATGTAGGTTTAAGGACATCAGTTTCACACTCATTTTCATCCAAGTTTGACAAGCTCACTGATGTGGTCCTCCAGTGTTAACACGTCATCTGTGCTGCTTGTCCACCTTATCATCACTTCCCCTATTTCACATAAGTCATTTTCATGTTGGTGGTCTCCTCCTTGTTTCCTGATGTTCTGCCACTCAGTTATGTCTCTGCTCCTTTTGTAAGCGAGCTGCAACAAATTTGAACAAATTGTGCATACTACTTGTGCAAACACACCCACTTGTCTCTCCTTTCAGGAACTCTAGAAAGGAGCTGAATGACATCCGGTTTGAATTCACTCCTGGGCGAGGTAAGAGTTCAGCCTAAATTGATTTGAGTGTGTTATGCCCTTTGTGATAACAGCTTCAGGCTCTATGAATTGTTATGTGTGTAATGGGTAACGGGAGTGTTTGTGAATGGGAATGCTCATGACAGTATCTAATTCAATATCTAACTCAATTACCTGGTAAGTGGATTGTTGCAGGCCCAATATTTCTCATGTTATTCCCTCACAAGACACTGCTGATGGCGTTTCCCAGGAACTGTTCTCAGCCGGTCTGGTCAACGGGCACGATGTCGTAATTGGTAATGTTACACCTCTGTATTCTCGTAAAGCTGTGTTGTCTGAATACATACTTAAGCTTATTTACGATAAAACCTCACTTAAAGAGTGTTAGGATGTTACTTGCAGTGATTATGAAGAAGTATTATTAGAGACGGGCATTTATTTCTATTGGCAAGCCCCTAGAACATGACATTAGTCAAATTTATAGAAATGTATTTCTTATTTATATTGCATTTGATTTTAAAATTATGCAATAACATAACTATACTTATACTTACTCTGCATATTATAAAACGTGTTTGTTGTTATTGTAACTGTTGCAGTTGCTGCCAACCTTCAGAAGATTGTAGACGACCCGACTACCTACAAAGTATTGACCTTCAAGCTGGTGAGTTTCCAGGTGATTGATGGTTGACGGAAGCCTCCCGGGTTTGTCGTGCGCCATAAACAGCTTGTTGATGAAAGGTTCAGTTAGGAATGTGAGAGCTTGAGCTATTAGAAAGGCCACAAACAAACCAAATAGTTTCTAGTCTGTCGCTGAGAATTTATTTAGAAATGTTTAGAAGGTGAAAGAGATTTGAGACATTACCAAATGTCTGAGGCTCCTAACAAAAAATGCTTGAAATACCAATGTTTTTTTAATCTTTTTATCTCAAGGGCCGTTTACAGAAAACATGTCCTGTATATACTTAGCTGAGAATCTCAACTCAAGGTCTACTTACTCTTTTGAACTTATCACCCAATCTTTACCCTTTACACTTTTTAGAGTATTCATGGATAATAAATAGTAACTTTCACAATGAAAATAAAATCTTTTAGAATACTAGGTTTTCTTTTCACTTTTACATACTTACATTATAACTATTTTGTATATGTAGTTAAGTGTCTGGTACTGGACAGCCTTACAAATAAATTTCCAGAATAAAATTAGATTTAAAATAATCATTGGATGTTTAAATACAAATATATATGATTCATATAGAGTGTTGTGTAGGTATACATCTTGATATGTGCCCAGTCATAAACTAGCTCCTTGTTCATGGAAAGATTTTTGACAAAAAGATAAAAAAGAGATCTTCTCATCACATTTAGCCTCAGAGTTTTTCAGCATTGAGTATCTGCCACTACTGAGTATGATCCAATATCTATTTTTGTTATGTTTGTTTTCTCCTGTGTAACGCTGCTGCACAGTGCACATTTAGCCTGCGGGAAACCTATATTAAAAGTAGTAATGTAATTGAAATTTATTTTACAGCTGAACAGCTCTGCATCAGAAAAATGTGTCTCGTATCATAGCTTCCCTTTGTTAGTCTTTATTATTATTTTGTATAATGTCTGACTTTATTTTGTGCAATATTCATGGAGATAAGTGTCATGATTCCAACAGTGTCTCTTCATCTCCAGCATGAAGAAAATACTTAAGGTCAAACACAGTTTTCAACCAACAGCAGCACTGTTTTCTTCCTGCAGGCATCACTCAGTGATGCACCTTGTTAAATCACAACAAAAGCAGCTGGAAGTTGTTTATTTATTTGTGCGTTCTACAGTTCACCAGTTCACCAGTTCACCAGTGGGTCACTCGTTTTGAGTACAGTAATGTCTGCATGTGATCCAGACTCACTTAATTACTTTTATCTATAATCACAGCAGATGAAGATTAATTGCATGTTACAGTATGCGCCACTTTAAGAGGTCACCTCCATATGGCTATTTGTTAAAAAAAAAAAAGCAATAATCTGGTCCTGCAGAATTTTACAAAAAACAAGTAAATTATGATTTTATTGACATTTCTGTTGTTGTGGGAAAACAACATCTGTGCTTTGGGTCACAGTGTTATACACAGTGACCTTTCCGCCATGTTTGCTTCATCAGCAGCTACTCAGTGTTGCAGGTGGACAAATCTCTGGAGAGTTGGAGTGAGGGCAGTTCTGGGCACACCATGTAGATATATGCGCATGCTTACATTTCCATATATTAAGTCTGCTCTACTGCAGGGAGTGTAAAATCCTCACTGTGGCTCAGCCCTCCCTTTCTAAACGAAGAGTTATGAGCACAGTGTCACAAAACCCAGGGAGTGAGAATAATTACCCTCGCTGAGGGAACAATTCATATCTTTTTATGCAGACAGTTTATAGTGTGGGTGGCACTCGAGCAGCTTTATGACTTCACTGAACAAGAGGTCACTATAGACTCTGTGAGCTCACAAAAAGTGACCTGTTTAAATAACGGTCCCACCATGTTGATCAGACAGCTGCAGGGCTTTCGGACCCCCAGGGAGATTGAGTGTCTGTCTCCAATCAGGTGTGAAGTGTTGGAGGACAGGAGGTTAGGTCACCCATTTATATTGGCGAGAATAGTGAAAATAGCTGAATAGAAAAGGAGACTCTCGGGTTTTCGGTGAACACTGACAAATCTAAATACACACTGCCTTTAACATGGCCTCTGTGAGTAGCATCTGAACAGCATAAAAATTGGGGTGAGATGAGTTTCTGGAAGGTTGAACTTTGAAATAAATATTGTGTTTTGCCACTGGGAGCTGTTCATCTTAGGGATTGTACACTTCATGACCAACATGATATATGGACATCTGAATATTACCAAAATCCTTATAATGTTTCTGATATTATATCCATATGTGATTGTTGAACATCTCATTCCAGAACCATGGACATTAATATACCGCTGTAATAGCCTCCACTCTTCCGGATTTTAAAACTTGGCTGCAGGGTTTTGCTCCCCTTCAGCAACAAGAGCATTAGTGAGGTCGGCCACTGATGCTGGAAAGGCATGACTTGCATTCAACATTCCAAATTCATCTCAAAGGTTTTGCATGAGGTTAATGACAGGGCTCCGTGCAGACCCCTCAAGTTCTTCCACACCAAACTTTAAAAACCACCTCTTCACCCCGCTTTGTGCTCAGGGGCATTGTCATGTTGATGCCTCAAAGTTGAAACAACACTATTGTCTATGCTGTAGCTTTGGTAAATGCAACTAAGGGCACCTGTGTAAACCAGGAAAAACAGCCCCAGACTAAAAGTAAAATGTGTAAGAATGTGGACAGGATATGTGTCCACATACTTTTGGTCATGTATACATTTTTATTCTATATTTACAAACTGCAAATGGATCAAGTTTTCATTTTTGTTTTGTTTTTCACATTGGCTCCTTCTGCATGCGGGTGATGCTCTTATCTGAAATACTGCAGCAGCGCTGGCACCGATTCTAACCTTATTAAAAGCAGATTAAGTATTGTCCAGATGTGACTGACCTACATTAATTCCTCTTTCTTCTTACTCACTGTCTTTATAAAATTGTAAGTGTGATCTTATAAACCTTCCAGAACAAAACAATTAACATTTGCACAAGCCTAAATAATGTAATCTGTACTTTTTATATTCTCAAATCATTGAATGACTAGATGAAATGTAAGAGCAGTCCCTTGCGGCGACAAACCGACAGTTTGCAGTTCCCCTGAGCTCTGCAGAGCTTTATGGGGACTTTCAGCTCACATATTTTTTTAGGAGTTGGTGGAGACCAAAAACTGAGGTAAAAATAAAATGAATGTTGGACTTAAATTTGCCACAACTCCAAATAAATATATGTCTGCTCGACATGTAAATTAGTAAGTGTCTCCTAACAACAACCTATCAACTTTCATGGCAAATGTCCAAAAAGAGGTTGTGTAATGAAATCCTCGTGTTTGATGACTGATCAGTTTGGATGCAATGATGTTTATAGATTTTGAAATGAAATCTTTTTAACCTCTATGCAGAGCGGTCCACCTGAAGATGAATCCCATTAACTTGACTAAACTGCAGTTGTATTTAACAATAACCAGAGAATTGTCACATTTTTGCCATTTCTTTCTTTCTCCTGCTTCTGTGGCTTTGTTGGTGAATTCAAATACAAACCCATGTTGTTTTCAGAGTTATGAGTATAATGCTCAGCAGGCTGAAAAAAACAAATTTTGTGAGAGGAAGAGCAGTATTTTCAATCGTCTGATTAATCCAGGGTGTTACACTGAAGCTGTCCTAGAGATTTTGCAGGATCAGTTGTGGTGGTGGAGATCCAAGTGTCATAATGCAATCTATCCCCCTCTGACGCTCTTGATGTCTTCCTCCTTGCTCAGGCGTCCAGCTGCGACGACATGGAGATCCCAGACGAGGTGAAGCTGATCGGCTTTGCACAGCTAAGTGTTAGCTGATGCTCTCTTCATGCCTGAAGCAGGTGAGACAAGGGAGACAGTTCAGGGCAGACAGACTGAGGAACACACCACCACCTCCTGCAACATCTTCCCCAACACCTTCCCTGAAAACTCACCCCACCCCCACCTCCTCCTCCCTCACTCCTTTTCACCTTCCCCGAGTCCAAGCTATGCCACCGCCCCCGCCTTCACTTCCTTAGCGCAGACTTCCCTGCTCACTGCCCCCTCCGACCTTTAACCTTAACAACATTCCACCGCCCAGCGCACAGACCGGGATCAGGATACAGCCCAGGAACCTAAAGATGTACTCAGGTGGTGAAAGAAGATGATTAAGATGTAGCTTTGAATGTTTTATTTATTTTTTTTTTCTTTTACTCGTTTTTATTTTACATCTCATTACCTCTGTGTTCAGCAAAGCTCTCATTATTTATTGAAATGAGAAAATATTTTTCAAAATTTTTTTCTCTCATGCTGTTTTGTTGCCACAGTGAAAACAAATTTGCTTTGACTCACACCTCACCAACCCACCCAGAATGTAAGACTTAGTGAATTTATGGGGGACAAGCACATTTTCATAATAACATAACGAATGTCTAAAAAGAGACTGAATTGTATTTCTGTGTCAACACCTGTTTGACATCGACAAGAAGGGAAACATTTGCTTGAGTGTGCAGAAAAAAAAACGAGACCTGGACGTTACTGTGTATAATTTGCTGCTCTCGACAGTGTTAATGCTTCAAAATGCTAGAGGTGCCTTGTTCATTTTTCTGTGCCTAAGAAAGTAGTCAATGAGTGAGACCACACAAAGAGCAGAACCTGCTGATTTCCATTTCACAAATGTATTACTCCAGCAATGACACAATTCACGTGAAGTATCTTAATGAGAGAAGCTACAATGCACTTTTTTGGGCTGAGTGTGTGCCCCCCGACAAGCTGATGCTTAGCCCCTGGAGACAAGTTAACTCGTGTGCTTTCGTCACCAGACTCATAAAACATAACAGAACCTGTACTCATTTAATCCGCTCTGGTTGATGTGTTTTCTGATGCCAGGCTAATAGACAAAAACCCAACAGTTAAACCTTCTTGCTCTGTCCTGCTGCACTACAAAAAAATTTTTTTTTTTTTTGTTCCCAAAAATATAGTAGTTACTAAAATGTACTGTATGACAATGCATCTGAGGATGAAACCAAAAGGCATCTATTGAAAGGGTGACGAGCCATTTGTTTGTTCAAACAAGTCTGGTAGCTCGAAATTATTTTTCAGTATTGAGGTGGTAAATATTAACTTCTACTAAATTCTTTATTTTATCAAGTAATTTATTGTGTTTTCTATGTACAGTATGTGTACCATTTCAGCATATTACCCCTGTTCCCTCTCTGTAATCTGCTGATGTCAAATTTCTGACAAGGAGCAACAAATAAAGAAGAATTGCTATTATTTAAAAAAAAAAAAGGTGTGGAGTATTTCATATTAGCTTAAATACTAAGTTTGCTAATTTTAGCAAACTTTAGATGGATCTTACTGTGTAAGAAACATTATAGAGTGAATTTACTGACTTTATGATTTGTTTGTACCTATGCTACTGTTACACTACATTCAGCCTTAAGCTGTCATTTCAGATATGTGACCAAATGTTGCTAGTGAGGAAATATTAGACTGATGTGCTTTAAATAATAAATGATAAATAAATAAAAACAATAATTTTAAATAGTCCAATAAGGGACATAAGAACCAGATCTTGGGTTACAAATAGAAAAAACAACAAACCAAAAAAAAAAAACTGAAACAATCTTCTGCAAATCCCTAACTGAGGGAACTGGAAAAAGGCAACAAGTAAAAGCAGTAATATAACTTTAATTATTCAAGTATTTGTTTTTTAATATAAAAAACATACAATATATAACAACAACCCCTCGTGGGATAGATGCTTTCACAGTTAATGTCACATTAGCTTATAATACTACAAAACCTCTGAAAAAAAGGAAACTTTTGGCCATGAAACCATAATTTTCTTAGAAACACAAACTTTTTTTTCCATGACGTCAGTAGCAGTGCTTCTGTAATCACTGATACGCCAGATACATATGATAATACATCCAGTCTGTAATGGTTTCACCTACAGTTTAAATCGTACTTGCACGACATGATACTGCGTTTCTCTTGATGTGTGGAGGAGCTGATGAGCTGAAATAGCAGCTGACGTACAGCGAACATAACCAGCTGTCGTAATGAGGAGCTGGTAACTGAGAGACGCAATTAGCCGTCCTCAAGTATGAAGATTTCAAAGTGGGAAAACAACAAAATGCATCTAAAAAAAGAAAAGAAAAGAAAAAAAACCCAAAATATACATCTAAGTACTTCAGAGAGAAGAGGCAGTGAAATTATGACTATATGTAAACAAAAACATCATCAGGCAAATTCATAAAAAAAAGCATCTGGTGAATTCTGCTATGTGGTTCCATTATTACCAATACTAGGGAAGAATGATCGATTGAAAATGACCACTTATCTGTAAGAGATTGGTGATTGATAATATAATGCAGCTCATTTTCATCTTTGTATTTGACTTTGCTCATAATAAAAACGGGAGAGGGGCAGAGCAGCGCAAGTGTAGATGTAGTTTTATCTCAACAGACAAGCTGATTTGTTGTTGGAAAAAAAATTCACATTTGCATTCTCATTGTCCAGGAACTCTTCTTTCATTTATTCAATAATACATATACTAAAAAATGTATGCTACTATAGATGTAATATAGTAATTCGATACTGTATTGTTTCCTGCACAGAAATTCTGTTTTGGCTTGCTCCCTGTAGTAATATCAGGGTGCTGGGTCAGCAGCCATGGAGCTGGTAGATAATCAGTGTCTTGCTCAAGGACACTTCAGCAGGGAGAAAGGTTGTCAGTGTGAGGGCTTGAACCTGTCCCTGCCCATTAGGCCACGCCATTTAATGGAAAACGCTGATTGACTTAATGCTCACGAAGAAGAGTGTGGTTAAACTGGAGCTGGAACACATGAACAAAATTACTCTCAATAACAACACCACATTTTAATTATGTGTGAGAATAGGCGCTCTACAAGCCCCATGCATTCATTAACAATCATGAGGTGTAATCAGCAGAAATAGACAGAGATGGTGCTAATGAAAACATCTGTCATGTAATAGAGACTTGCAGCAGCCCTCCATGTTTTTACATTAATCAGTGTGTAACTGATGAAGATTGAAAAGGAGAAAAGGCAAAAAGAAAAAAAAGAAAGAAAAAAAGTTGTTGTTGTTCAGTGTCCCCTAACATCTCAGGTGCTTCTTGCTGGACATGTCATTCCAAATGCGGTGCATCTCCTCCGGGGAGATCTGGTGGACGGTGATAACCCGTCTGTACCTGCACAGACTGTAGGCCATTTTCCAGTGATTAAAACCACTGTTCTGATAAGGGTGTATACCCAGCTTACGCAAACACAGTCCCACATACACATCCTCCAGGTGCAACAGTCTTGTGTGTAATGAAGTCTTGTAGATTAGCTCAGCTACATCTGCTGAGAACACGTAGCCAGTGCCCGAGCAGAAAGGCGGGTATTTATTCTCAGGGTACAAGTCTCTAGGCATGTACCACTTACTGCGCATATCTCTAATGGGGCCGCCATTTATCACATAGCCGGTGAAATATCTTCTTCTTGGCTTGGTGGTGGGCTTCAGGAGCTTGTAGATCAGATTGTCCATGTTGACGAAGATGTCGCTGTCTGTCTTCATGATATACTGCGCTTTGGGGCAGAAGGTAGCCACCCAGCGCATGCCCATCATGGTCTTGAGGGTGAGGTTGTGGTAGGAATCAATAAAGTTCTCCACCACTATATCATGAAAGATCTGACTCTCCTGCTCCACCATCTGGTTCAGGACGGCGTCCGTGTTGATGCCCAGCAGAAAGATGGTGAGGATGCGGATGTCGCTGAAGGTGCTCTCATCCCCCCAGGTCTCTCGGATGGCTTGACGCGCATCGAACTCCTTGTGCGTGGTGCTGATGAGGATGACCAGGAAGGGCGTGGTGCTTTCACACTTCTTGGGCTCATTGATCACAAATTCAAAGGCATGTGGGTTGAGGGGGCGGGTGCGGATGTTGGTGAAGGTGATGTTTTTGTGGGGTTTCACAGTCTTCCGAATGGACACGGACATGTGGCTGACATAAGTGGACGTTGGACGAGATATACTCAGATACCAGAGAGCGCTCGCCCAGCAGACCACTGTCAGCAGGTATAAACATGACACTTTTGAAGGCATTATGCTGCATTTAGGTGTATTTTGATGCGGTGTATCTTATAAGGCTTTCTTTCCATTAGCAATGTTTCACCCAGCAAGGCAGCATTAAGCTGCTCCAGCGCGCAGTTTGACATTAATTGTCAGTAATGGATTACTTTAGAGAGAAGTGATGCTGTTTGTGTTTTAATGCAAAGCGCTTTAAAATCATACAGTGGTCCAGTTTCTCTTGGGGACACTGCTGCTTCTCCATTTACATCTGAAAGAGAGAGAGAGAGAGAGGAATGGTTCATGAATAAAAATATATAAATAAATAAATATATATATACCAGGTGTATATATACATAAGACAGGTCCTAAAAATATATTTTTGAATAAATCACAGTATTTTCAAAATCCAATAAAGTCATCAATGGCAAATATGAATAAAAGCCACTCTATAGACTTTGCTATCTATCTATCTATTGCTACTACAGCAACAAGTCAAACAAATGAGGAAAAGATGCTTGAATATAACATTATATTTACACAATAAATAACCAATACTGTGGAAAACACCACAGTTGATATATCAAACTTATCATTTGGGTGTTGGAATTAAAAAAATCATCATCACAACTCAATTTCTAAAATGAATTTGTTCCATCTGAGTGAGTCTAGTTTGAGAAAGAAAGCAGAGGACTCAGATGAAATCAATATCTAATAAGTTACACACATGTGGGAAAGATTGTGGTGCCATCAGCCGTCTAGCAGAAGTGACTCATTGTCAGACACATTTATATTATTCATTGCAGAGGTTTAGTTATTATTCATTGGCAACACACCATGTGATGTGAGGATTGTCTCCACACTGTGTTACATCCTTGGCTTGCAACAGGCCAAATGTACTGTGTGATAATATGATAATTCACATTTTCAATTTTGGTTTTATTTTGCTCTCACATTGAGCGATAAGCAACACAGAATATTTCATGTTTATGACCTATTCATAACGAAGTTTATTTCAATAAAATATGAGGGAAGTAATAACAACACTGACATCCTGCTGATGTATTCTTCAGAGCGTTGCAAAAAACTGCAACAATTGTTTTCTGAAAAATTTGCTTGGTGCATAAGTATGATCAGCAAAATGCACTTTAAACATAAAAGCACAGAAACACAGAATACTGGCCCCTGTGAGTGCTGTGCTGTTATATATTATTAGATTATTATATCTGATATATTAATGTTTAAGTTGATTTACTGAACTGTTATAGTCTGTGTTGGTTAGTCTTTGCATGAGAAATCGTACTTAAATACAACACTTAATGTTCAATTGCATTACTAGTGTAAACTGAATGAAATGCTCATTCTTGCATATAAATGAATTATAGATTTTGCATCAGACCATAAAAAAACATTTTCACCATTCACTACATGATCCTGTTGCACAGGCTGACATTTTACAAGAGGAGACAAATACCCTTTTAAACCAAAACCAAAAAAAAAAAAAGAAAAAAAAAAAGGAAAGAAGCTCTCTTTTTCTGTGGCTCAAACGAGCTGTGGGGTTGGCGGCATTCTGCATGACAGTGTGATATGGTGGCACAAAGGGAACACTGTGCCATGATATGCTTCTCCCCTGGGGTGTTTTTTTTTCTTCTTCCCCCCCAGTTTGTTCAATGCTGCATTGCTGCACTGTCTGACTCTCACTGAGCTGACAGAAATTTGGCATCTCTATTTTTTGAACAGTCATTCTGCAGCATGGAGACCGATGTGGCATTTGTTTGTGCCTTTGCACAGGTGGCTGAGCACCTACAGTAATACGTTAGCATGCAGATCATGTACCCTGGCTTTTGAAGCACTATGACTTTCCTTTTCATCCTGGGAAGGCAGATCAGACGATGCACTTCACAGGGGAATGGCCATAATGCAATAAAAGTCTGCATTTCCATCTTCAAAGCCGAAGAGTAGCAAAATCCACTTTGAGCAAACAAATGTAGTCATAATAACATGATTTGAATTCAATTTAAGGATAGAGTGCAATTACCTGCTGCATATACCCATATTGTATACAAAGGTACACTGTTAGACTGAAAGACAAGACATTAACAACAAAAGACACATACACACTTAGAAAACAAACTCTTTGTAGAAAGCACTCTGTCACATGAATTAGTGCTGGATATTTGTATGACAAACATACCATCTTATCTTGCACTGTGACTACTACATCTATACTGTTTATTTGTGACAGCTCCAGAATAGATTTTCTGGCAGTAGATTATCAGTTTGCCACTGCCTCACAAACGGTGTTGCTTCTCAGTCTATCTTGTACTGAACCATTTCTTCCCCCGAAGAGTCTTTCAGCAAAACTCTTATGTTGAGAGTACTTTCTCACAATATCAGACCTCTCCTCCTCTTGTGAAATTACTGTTAGATTTCATAGGATTTAGAGAAGCAAACATTCGCTCCTATTAACAACAGTTTACTCAGGTGCAAGAGACACCCAGACGCCAATATTTTCTGATACCGGAGGAGGGAGGAGGGTCAGGTGGAGTGAGGATAGAATAACAGGCTGCAGACCAAGCGATGACTGTTTGCTTTTAGATTAATAACACAATGAAAACAAAACCCTACGCAAAAGTAAGCCACATGCTGTGTGTGTACATGTGTACAACACGTTGAAATACGCACAAACCAGGGCCAGCTGGTAGCAAGCAGGCACTGTGTCCCACATTGTCACTTTGAAATCTCAGTTTCAAGACTGAAACGAAAAAATATTTATGAGACAGAACTGAGGCAATGTTTATGTGACAGTGCATTTGGCTGCCAGTCTGTAAAACATAACCTCCAGTGGCTTTGCAGAACAAACACTTCTCATCTGGGTCTCTCATGTGTATCTACACCACTAGATTAAACAGACTACTAAATTTGTCCCTGACTCTGACTGATACAGAGGAAAGTCCATTTTACTGCTTGTGAATGTCTGTCATCAATTGGTTCAGAATGAACTGAGGATGCTCTGTGCGTAAGCAAAACTGAAGTGGGAGAAATTACTTTATGTCCTGTTGCGCCAGTGTCTACAAACAGCAGTGACTCACGTGCTGACAAAAGGTGACATGAAGAAAGTGACAGAAAAAAACAAATGATTCAACATCAGATATGTTTTTATTTTTATTTTTGTGGATTACACAGAAAGATATAGATTGGCCTATTTGCCACCGAGTCAGGTGACAGAATAGATCAGTCTTAAGTTTTCTCTGCCCGTTTTTACAGCAGGTGGTGGTGATTGTCACTTGACACATTAGCCATCTTTGTCTTTGTAATACAAGAAGTTATAATACGCCCTCTGAGCAGCACTGCACCTTCAGGGCAGATTGGAGTCTACCAGTGACTCGCTATCGGAAAGAGACGGGCTGGAATGGGCTGAGGCTAGCTGATTAGCGTGCTAACATCTGTGGAAGAAAAGAAGTGATAGAACGAAGAGTCAACATGGCCACTGCTGGAGCACACCTGCCAATATTTAAGTTTCAATAAAAAAAAAATTGAATTTTTCAGTCATACGTCCTGCGTTCTTCAGCATACACTGCTTGAATCAGGTCGTGGTAACAGATAGGTTGAAATTGTATGTGTGTGGATTATGTGTCTAGCTTGTGAGATTACCTTGAAATGACAGGACTATTGGCAGGTATGTTCTGGAGCTCTTGGTAAGTAAAGGAGTGAAGTATGATGCTGACTTTGCAACGCTCCGTCTAGACTGGTAAGTGAACAGTTGTTAATGCTAATGTTGGCTATGTAGTGATAACCAAACTTACAAATACCTCCTTTAAAACAGTGAGATATATGGAAAATACAGTAAGAGGAGGTGCAGGAGACAGGGGCATAGGTTGACGCTTCCTGATTATGCTTAGGTTGAACTGTATAAGAGACCCAACATACTTATGCTTCCTGCTCTGCTGCCACTTCACTGAGCGACGGTTTCCCAGGTAACATCTGACCTCAAAAACACCAAATACAGAAGAGCTGCTGTTCACTGTACTTGGGGATTTTTTTTTAATAGTATCAGCATAAACTGGAGAACGTTTCAAGTGCTTTAGTGCTGTTTACCAGGATATTCACAAAACATCCTAAGGATAAAAGTAACTCCTACCTGGCTGAGTTAAGAGGAACTTCTAAAAATAAAGGGCGCATCAGTTTTAGCCACAATAGTGGCAAGGCTCTAGAGGTGGTAATGTTGAACTAAAGATCTGTCTGTCAGAAGTCCATCAAACCAAAAATGTGCTCTTTGGACCCCACTTTGTTGAACAGCTCATTAAATGTGCACTAAACAGTGACTTTTGTTGTCAACTCATTTCCACCACCTGGCTCAGCCTCTGGTTCCCTGCATGTGTGGAAACCTCAATGTGGGCTGCTCTAGCTTGTGGTTAGATGACTGTAGCATTGAGCACAGCCTGCAGGCAGGCCGCCAGACCTTTGCAGAGCTATTATTCCAATCAGTCTCCATAATGCTGGATGTCACACTGAGAGTCACTCATAAAATCCTCTGCTCTGTGTGACCAGACTGGGCTGGTGACTGGCAAAAAGGATGGTAAAATATGGTAAAATACGGTCTGTAGGGGAATGAACAGGTGTAAATGGTCAAACCTCTGAGCACTGGACTTTCAGGACATGAAACAAACTACAGAAACACAACAGGGAAGGGAATTAAATGGGAAAATAATTAGCCTATAATACCAACAGAGACCCAATTTATCATGATTTATTATATAGCAAGAGGTAAAGTTGCACAGGGAACACAGCACAAAGACAGCCATTCATCAGGACGTGACATTTCTTCCTCTAAGCCTCTGGGTTGACTGTTTGGAGGACTGGTTTCTAAAAAGGGCTATTATGCTCTCCTCTGCACACAACAAAATGTTTTGATTCATGGCCCCCTGACCATCTATAGACAGGTCTCTGAAGTGTTTTTCCAATAACAGCGTCTCTGAGCTAATAGATTGCCAGATTGAATTAACTGCTTCATACAGAGCTTATTGGTTATTGGGGAGAGCCTGTGCCAAAAATTTTAATTGATTAC